AGTCAATTACAATTTTATCACATGCATAAAAGCAAGTGCTACTTATTTTCGTATTTGCATGTGACGCAAATGCAATACATCCTCAGTATATTTATTTGAATATCCATGATTTTGTACTCGTTTCCGAATTGCACTACCAAAGTGAAAAAACCGGCCAGGTATTTTCGTGTTTGGAAATTCAATTGAAATGGCGTCCATCGCCGCCTTCTTGAAAATCAGTTCACAGTTGCATATGATTAAGGATATAAATTGGTTCTACATGAAACATCATGTAATTATTATAGGCAGAACACACTTTATGGTGATATCGTGTGTTAGTTATATTATTTTTAATAAGGGTGACAAATTACAGTATTATGAAATGCGTATCATTTATGTGTGTGATGAACAACTAACGATACGAACGGATATAAAGATAAACGGGAAGGAATCGACATTTTCCAGTGCTACACTATTATGTAGATACTAGATACCCAATAATAACAACAACAAAAAATACTTCGAAATGACGTATGTGTCAAATTGGACGTTACCTATATACTCGGATAGTAGATATAAATTATAATAGTGTATACAATATACATTATATACTATTTCATTTTTATGCAATTCAACATTGTATACACATTTTACTTGGATACTTGTACTTCCGTTTCCTTGCAGGAAAAGTGTTTGATTAAAAAAAAATCTTAAATTTTACACTTGAAACGTTGGTGACGTTCTTTAAAACTAATGAGAATTGTAAATTGTAAATTGAGAACTGTAAGCTTTAATCCTTGAAGTATTTTATATTTTTATTTAAATCTTAATTTTGTACTCGAGTGTCGTAGTGACAGACAAATCTTTTTGTTTTAAAAGCTTAAGCTGAAAATATATCTTCTTCATCATGACCTTTAAAAATTTAAAATTATACGAATAAACATTTTTAAAATATTATACAATATAAGCCGTTTCAATAAACTTTAAAATCTTCAAATGAAATACAATTTTTCTTTTGCAAACATCAAAATTTAAAATCTATGAAAATAATAACTATAATATACACATTATACACAATATAACCCGATATAAGTAGATTTTAGAAAACAAAAAACTTATATCTAAGTTATTCACACTAATAAATCAAATAATGTTTATAATTTTGCTTTACACTTTCGTAGTATAAAACTGGCGATAATTAGTTTGGATTAATTAATTTGCATAAATATATAGCCTTTTATTTTTTCTTGTTATGATATTGTTGGTGATTGATGTAATCAATTGCTTTAAGTTGATTATACTGTTACGCCGTGTGCTTATTTAGCCCTCTTTTATGATAGTATGATACGATAAAATTTTATCACCGATATGACAATGGGTATATTATTTAAATTCAAATTGAAGTTACGGAGGGGCACGGGACTGCTTATATGTGTAAATCGCATGACAAACTGTTTAAGCCAAAGGGTTTATATAATTTATACATCTAATGTACACACGCTCGATTTTAAAATGTTTCAGCGTTAATATTCCTATTCGGCGTTTAATGTTTACTAACTTCTACATTGCAAAGTTTATAATTTACAGTGCGCTTTCAAGCTTATTTATAGATATTACATATCATGTCGTTATTAACTTATTGAAACGTGTTTTATTCATTTTACTGCACACATATAATTACATAATTACCCATGAATATAACAACATCAACACGATGACGTACACCTACTTTATGTTAATATACCAAATTCGAGTATCAATATTATAGGTGGTAGAAGAATTCTAGTTTGAACGGCTACATTACTTATGTCTAGAGCTGAAATATCAGTGTAAGCGCATATTTTTACTAAAGCATGATCAATTAATTAAGGCAAATGACAAATTATTTTCACTTGATTTGCAATAAATTAAGATATATTTTATTTTACATATATTTTTTAATGATCCGTAAAATTTCCGCTTTTGTTTTTACAAATTTCGTAAAATATTTCAAACTTCCTAATGCTAAAAAGTAAAATAACTATAGTCAATTTAAATAATAGAAATTGGTGGTTAAGTATTAAATTATACTTTGATACTATTACTCGTAACTAATAGTGCAGTGTGTAGTAAACCCTGGTGGTATAAGTCAGCTTTTAAATAACAATTTATTTATTGAAAGTACCGGCTGATAGTCCAGTGGTTAAATTATTGCATTAAACATTTTACCACAAAAACAGTAGCATAATAGGTATATAGTGACAATTAATAATACAAACAAATTTAACATTATATACTATTTACCATCGTTTTACTGCGCAATGATTTTAATAATCTATAATAAACATAACAATATAATATTTATTTATTTATTTAAAATAATAAATGCCACTCAACTTTTTTTGTAGTAAATATAACAATAGAAAAAATAAATACAATGCACAGCACATATTCCAAAGAAACTCGATTTTATAAACAATTATTAGAATCACAATAAATTGGTGGGGACATAGCTTTTCTCATGGTTGATCGGCCTCTATGTAGGTAATTGGTTTCTACCGTACAAGGATTCGGTGTATGGGTCCCGAGCTCTGGTATCTACTACCGAAATTCGGAATCCAACTATAAATAATAATGTGGGTGCATCGATCGACTCAGAAACTGTAAACCGTCCAAAGATGCACCACTGGCATATATAGTAGCATCTTCCTTAATGTGACCTCAGAGTGATGGTATATATTCTAAAACAGATATTCATGCATATGGTTCACGGTTTATTTTCGCATACACAATTCCAAGAAAACCGTTCTGTTCACGTTCAATATTATTTTAAGACCATCAAAGTTGCACTTACACCCGAACATCTGATATGCTGTCCCATATTTCCGACTATCCGACGCGCAGATAGAATTTTTCAAAACTATTTTATTGTTCGATCTCGACAAACAACAACAGTTTATCGGAATAATATATCACTATATATAGTTTTAAAAAGTCCATTAAAATTCGTAAAAATTATAATTATTCATCGCGGATAATCTATTATAATACGTTATTCAAAAATAATATATCCATTACAATCTATGAACTTCAAATATACCGACGAACTTGGTCTTAAAAAATACCAAACTACCTACACTCATAGAATAACCGCGTTGGTATCTTGTCGGGGTCGTTTTCCGTTCGAGCGGCCGTGCACTGGTCGGCAGCGGTGGGGTAAGTTTGTTTTAAGTACATAATATGTATATCTACATGAACTGTGTACAGGGTTTATCGGGTCGGCTTGACTTAGTTGTATATAAAGCATCGGTATGAGGTGCTATATATATCTAAATAATAAAGTGAGTTTATGTATATATATTATACATTCGATATAAGAGGGAAAACAACGCACTGGGAGTAGTTGGGGTGCAGTGGGGCTCCGCCGGCCGGTATATACTCGACTAAACCACCCCTTCCGGGGTCGCACCGTGTGTGTGTGTGTGTGTGTGTGTGTGTGTGTGTGTTCAACGGAATCGCCCTGTATACGCCGGTCAAACGAAAACGAGCGGAGCTTTCGCGGCGACGGAGTGCGGGCGGCCGAGCAGCTGCGCGGGGGGGGGAGGGTCTGCTACGCAGTATGGCGGGGAGAAAGGCGAGAGGGAGTGTTTGATCGCGCCGCCGCCGCCGCTACGGTGCGGGGCCTGGTCGATCGTCGGAAAACGGAAGTTAAAGGGGATCCCGGATGATGCGGGCGGCCGGGACCCCGGGAAAATCCGGGAGAGCGTTCGTCGTATATATACATATAATAAACATATATATATATATATACACACGCACGAGCTCTCGTGGCCGGTGGTGGGGCGCCAATCGGCGTGGAGTACTACCGGTGGCGTCTGTTTATGTATATACGTATTTATTTATATATGTGTGTGTGTGTGTGTGTGTGTGTGTGTGTGTGTGTGTGTGTGTGTGTGTGTGTATGTATATATATATTATATGTAATACGCTTGTTCGTCGTTTCGCCGCGGCTTTGGCGGCGACGGGCCGGGCGATTCGTAATGTTTAATTATCGATTTTAGCCCACCGTTCCCACTCCGAGTTATTATGCAATATATATACACGTATACATTAAATGGTGTGCTCTGAAATGACAAAAATAAACGCATCTGATGTACTGTACTACAGTTAGACAGGTAATCAAACCTTTACCAACATACTAGTAACTAGTGCCTACACCGAAGACGGTATTAAAACATATCTTATATATTATATCAAAATCGAAATAAAACATATTATTTGTATAAAATACTCATCGAGCGGCGTCCACGGCAGATGGGCAGAATATACTGCTCGCATTATCACCGTCGAGTCACACATATAGAGTTGGCATTTTTCAACGGGCAACAAAGTGCACGGGATCAGCTAGCTCTATACATATTATTAAAGTGTATGCACAACGCATATTATGTACCTATAATTAGTGTTTTCGGATTGCTGGTGAACTACTCTAATATGCATTTCCGAACGACGTACGCCACACATCACAACCAAACAATACAATCCATGCTGCAGACTGCGTGTCGATTGCGCACCCAAAATATCGGACACAGGTTTTACACTTTTGTACATCACTCAGATAACAGGACTGTTCAAATGTGCATTGACAGTACGCTATCATAATATTATTTAACATACGATTTATTGAACTATACAAACCTTCTTTATTCGCGATGCTTAGTAGTGTACACTGTAGGTACCTAGTCAGTACTCAGTACCTGCCATGAACTAAAATATATACAGTCAGATATATAGCCATGTGTATTTTAGTTCATGGTCAGTACTTATAGTACTTACATTAATCAAAATTTGAAATACAAAAATCTTAAATATCTCTATTACAGTTATAGCGCGCATGACATTAGTATATTAGGTAATAATGGACATTATATTTTATTTGTTGACAGCAATCATTGTTTGTGTTCATATTTCATAACGTTCATAATATTAAACAGTTGCTACAAGTAATTTTGATACAATAAAAATATAAAATTGTACACGACTTAAAATCTATTAAAACGAATTTATTATTATCAGTCTGACAGTCGCTCTCTCTGGGCTCTCATATATGAATAGTACCACAATAATAAAATATAAAATATAAATTTGACCAATATTGTTATATTTTTGTTTAAAAAAAATATGGACAAACATATGGTTTAAATAACTTACGATAATTTATCCAAGACAGACGTATAATAATTACGTAAAGTGTACAAATTGTTGTCGTCTGTGGACGAAATCGTCCAACTTCCATATTATTATTATGTAATTTCATTAAAATTCACCATCTATCCGGTTCATCCAGTTCGTGAAAATATTGATCTCACTGAAAGTGGATGTAACATAATATAATATAATATTATATAGGTATAGGTAGCATAATACAAGCTACTCAATAATCAATCGTCCTATACAAGACCGTGCAGCAGCAGGTACGCAAAAAACCAGAACACGAAATAAGTATTTTACCTAAGTACGTGTATTGTTCATATTTGCATGGAGCTGTGGAGGCGCTAAATTGTTTTGACAGTCAGTTATTCACGGTCTGCATGGTTCCATTGTTGTTTCTTCTCCATTCGAAACCTACCTACCCGTGTTATTATATTATTTAGGATTAGGTTAAAAAAATGAAATAAACGTGCGCCCGTGTAGAACAATTACAATTACCGCGAAACAGTCGAGTCTGTTTTTGACATTTGCCCGTCTGCAGGCTGCGGTGTGTGCGCGTACAGGTACAACACTCTTGACTGTACACGAAGAAAAATAAAATATATCATTTTTGAAAATGAAACGTTAAGTTTTGAAAATCGACACTACATCTACTTACTGCAATGCGACCATTCCTACGCTGATGATTGCGTACCTAGGTATAATATGCTCTGTTTGCCAAGTTTCGAATTATTTCCACTCGTAGAAAATACAGTACCTAGTATTGTCAATGATCAGAGTTCGGACGCTGTGTTGGCATTCGAATTATTTTTTCCTGGTGCCGTGATGTTTGATTTTGAAAAATGCTTGTATCAACTTTAAATTAAAAATTCGCAATTTGTATACGCTTTTTAATTTAATTTCATAGAAGCTTAATATATTATTATATTATAAAAACATTTTATATTATCCACATAAATTATAACAACAGGACATAAATATTAAAGACTTAATGTAAACATACAATATAAAAGTTAATATAGGTAGTTACCTATGTGAACACACTTAATTAATTCTGAATTTCAGTATTTCACGTAGAATTATAAAATTATGCTTCTTAAAAAAAACTCTTGATATTGGTCATTGGTGACTGACTAGTGACTATTAGCTGAGATCGGAATAAATGGTTCAAATGTAAATATAAATCGATTTTAATTTATTAATGTGTAGTGCTAATGATTTGAGACGCGTCGTTGAGATGCTATTCAGTTACATCGTAGACCGGACAACTATTATTCAATTTTCTATTGAATGATATCGCAGAAGGTATCAAATAAACAATCCCGAGAAGAATGTATAAGCCACCGTAGAATAAAACCTGAAAACACATTAATTATTATTGCCACATTTTATTAATATTATTCGGATGTAAATTCAAATTTTAAGTTATTTTTATGTTTAATCCTTTTTTCGGTTTTTTTTTTATACCAGAATATAATTTTTTTTTGAATATGATTAAATCAATTAGAAAAATGCTATCAAAAAATATCTTTTGAATAGGAAAAACATTTTATTTAACTATTTCAAATGTACCTGTTCGGGAATATCAATCTTAAATAAATTGCCACGGATAAAGATCTCTTTATAACACAGAAGCAATACCAGTGAGATGAACGAATTGAAACCCAATACAAGTGCATAACAATTATTTTTCAGCTGTTTTGCGACTTCAGACCTGTTTAAATAAAAATGTAATGTATTATAATATAATAGTATAATTTAAAAAAAATATAAATTAATAATGTATTATTGCAGGTTAAAAATCGTGTTTGACATTTAAATATATAATTAATTATATTAGGATTATAATGATACAGTTTGAACTGTTTGAATTGAGCACTTCAACTGCACTATCTACCTATATTTTAACTTGTAGTTATTTCAGAAATTGTATTTTTTATAAAATAAATTGATCTTTACTTACAACGCCGTTACAAACATTGCTTGGATCAGTGCTCCGAATAATATGTACGACAGTTGGATCGATAACATATGTTGATGAAAGTAACAAGACAACACGCATACGCCAAGGATCAAAGACCCAGATCCTATGAATGCATTACCATTTAATTCCCAATTCACACGTTTCACGCCGATTTTGTACGAGCCGATAGCCCCTGCGCAAAAATGTGTAATTCAAAAACATATATTATAGGTAGGTATCCGTAAAATTATGAGAAAATCAGCTCCAACATTCTATACAAGTTTAATATTATCAGTGACGTATCGGTTGAAAATGTTATTAATAAATAATTTTTAGATGAAATTGGTCGACATTTAACTAAAGAAGAAAACTTCTGGATACGCCACTGTGGTGATTTACCATACATTATTATACAGTTGGTTTGTAATTTTAAATTTATAAGCTAGCACACGGTGTTTAATATAGACAGTAACGTCCCACATCCCAGTTAAATTTTTAAAAAACCATGTCATCATTAATGAATAATGATACATCTAATATTGTTTAAGATTCTGAACAATAAATAATATGACGTATTGGATCTACAATGATGTGTGTTTTTTTAAGAGTTGTTTTTTCTAGCTCAATTTAAAATGGTCTTTTTAAATAAATGGTAAAAACGTAGAAAAACAGCGGAAAATGAGAATAATCATGTCACATCAGTTTTCGACAAAACTAATTATGTTTCTTTGTTATAATTCAAAAACGAATCAGAGATTTGAAATGTTTAGAAAATATTTTAGCTTTTTAGACATGGAATTATTTTAAAAATATTTTGGCTTTGTTTTTAGTTATTAATAGATCTTTGGAACTTTTGATTTACGAGATTTACGTAGATTTTTACGAGATCTTTCACATGGTGGTTCTTACAACAATATTTAAAAATATTAAAAGTACATTTGTACAATATTTTTATTGACTTTTAAAGTTTAAATTTCGACATTTAAATGAAAAATAGGTAACGATTTTTAATTATTTTGTTGTAATAAATACGAGAAATTATTAATCGTGGAGACTTGGAGTTTTTGCGGTGATTGTATCGGTATTGGCTTATATATATAAGTTAATACATTAATTATAAATACTATATAATATATAGTTATCAATAATTATATAGTATATATTTATAATCAATGGTTAATGCCAATTATATATTATAATATGTTATAATAATAATTATAAATTACAAGATATCTGATGTTTATGGCTAGTTCTATCTAGTATAAACAAATTATAATATTATATCCTCAGGAATGGATGCAGACACTGTGTCCGCCCAGAATCGTTTTTCGTATGCAATGATTTATCATTGAATTCAAGTTTAACATAGTGACTCACTCAATGTCGAGGAACACTTGACACCTATATACTATAATATACAGCATAATATGGACTGGTTGATTTTTTTTTTTAAATAGCCCTAGTCATTATTTTCGAGCGTACCCAACACCTTAACCCGGGCAAAAATACAATAGAGTGAATTTTCAAACATACATTGCATACACAAAATCTGCCTAAATATTTGGTTAGACAACGTATAAGATCGATCTTTTGAATAAATATCACATCGTATCATATAGGTTACCCATAACGCAATGCCATATAGCCTAATTACTATGGAATTTATGCACGAATAAATTATATGTACATGAATCTAAGGAGTAATAATAATATAATAATAGCTAATACATAAACTGACCTTCGTGTTTTATAAATGTTAGATATTTTCTTAAATTTATGTATGATCAAAATAAACATATCATATTTACAAACCTATGAATACGGTCAAGGACTCAACAACACCGTCAGCTTGCTCATTTTCGCCTAATTTGTGAGTTACACATGTTATTTTTATCTGGAATTATACAAAAATTACTAAAAAATATCTATTAATAGAAAATATAAATGGATTATCTTACACAAAATATTTTATTGGTATAGTATATTATTTTAACTTTTATAGTCAAGTGTTTTACTTACCGTCATATAGCCGACTAAAGCCAAACAGTACCAAATAGACCATTTCAGAACAATTAAGTTTTTATAAGATTCGTTAAAGTCTCTCCGCATTCGTCTTAACATAGGCTCGGCTGCAGATGACTGAGATTGAAGGGGTCTACTCTAAAAATAATTTTTATTCAAGTATAAATTCTTGCTTGAAATTATGTACTATAAAATAATTTACAATTTAAATGCATAACCAATCGAAAAGAATGTACGATGTGTGTCGTCTGATTATATGAGTGTATAAGCTTAAAATTTAGGTATATTTCACTATATTTTTTTAATTATTACATTAGTGTAATGAAATTCAAAATGCAAAATTAGTTTTCACCTACTCATTAATAAATGATTTTAAAAAATGTATTTTTTTGAAATTGTATGATATTAAGAAATTAATTATTTGTTAAATATTAAAAAAAAATATTAAGTTTTTATTTAATTATAATTTATTTGGTCCCAATATTATTACTAATAATATGTTAATTGTTTACTATACGCGTACATGTAATCTTTAAGACAAGATAGAAATTGATTGTTCTGTGTTCATATAAATATTTTATAACATACCTATGAGAACAATTTTAGTTTCGAAAAAAAAAATAATTATAAAGAACACTACAATATATTCTATCAATATTTAATGGTGTAAATTACCATTAATCTTATTGACATAATGACATGTTGGCACACATTTTCATATCCAAACACTCGAATTGATTTCTCGCCTAATTGCCTAAAACGCAATTTTCCCCAAGTAATTTGGATAAAATAATCACGTTTAATATTCCAACAGCTGAGTGAAGTAAAATAATTTTCAATTTTCCATATGGAATAAAATTCATACAAATAAATGTGTGCAAAAAACAGGCAGCCTCTGTCAGATGGAATATTTCCAAAACAATTTATATATTATAAAACAAAAACATTTTAAAGATTTACCTTTAAATTAAGTGGTTCATTGTTATTATGCAACATAAATTCTGCAATAGTATCATCTTTATTGTAACTTTTCCGTCTTACCGATGGCATAAACGACGCCCAGACAAATGCGAAAACCACACCTAAAATATTACAGCAGATACGTAGGATGTTGAACGATTTGTGGATATTATAACTTATTAAATCTAGTAGGTATAGGTAATTAAAATAAAAATAAAAATAATTGTTAGTGTATTTGTAATAAAAGACCTAAAATAGTTTTTTCGTGAGATTTGGCTTATCCAAAAATGAATAACCATTGGTCAACGATCACGAGAATGAAATGAAACTATATCTATAGGTACAAATTGATCAATTATTTTAGAAAGTTATTAAACTATTGTTGCAACTTTATTACATTGGTTAACCTTTAAAAATCGATGTATATGTACTTATAGGTATCCATACAGTTATAAGTATATCTACCTATACCTACATCAAGATGGCACACGCGTTTATTAACAATTACAGCTACCATTAACTTTTTTTCTAACTAGCTTTTTTGAAATTTGATTTATTTTTTAGTAGGTACTCAATAGTCATACTGCACACATGAATTAATTATTTTGTTTTTATTGGTGTTTCACAAATATTTAAGATAATTTCAGCCTGATTATTATACAACTTTTAAAGTTTATTAATTAGTTTATAATTGATGTTTATAGCAGTGTCATGGTAATATTTAAATGGTGTCAAAAAAATTAGGTTGCCTATATTGATATGTAAAAATTGTACACTTTACAATAAATTTCCTATACGTCTTAATGAGAATTAAAAATTAATTTTTTTTAAGCGATTACAAATTGGATGTTTCAAATGTTTAACTAACACATAAGATAAATCAATATAAATAATTGCAATAGGTAAGTACTATCACATTTGAAACAAAAAGTTAGATTTCTAAAAAAAGTGGTATGTACTAGAAGTGTGCAAAAATACAAAATAGATTAAAAATTATGTCGTGTGATCATGATAATATTGAGGAGGGAAGGTATATATATATCCATAAAAATATTTTGTATTAACATAAGTTATCGATAAGGAAATCTTCTTCGCTTATTAATACATTTTTTGTAAATAAAAAAAAAATTTAGCTAATGGGGAAATACCCATTAATGGCGATATTAAAATTTATTTGAAAATTAAAAATTGTTGTTGTTTGTGCGATCAAACTATTTTTGCAGTAGTATAGTAGTAGTAGTACCTATAGGTGTCTATATTAAATCGACTGCAATTTGCAAATACCCACTCATTAATAAATTGCAGGTGTGCATTATAATTATAATAATCAATAATATTATGTTATGATATGAGTTACTTAGTACGTGAATGTATGCATAATATACGAAAATTTTGGAATATCTACAGGCTACAATAATGATTTTTCAGTTGAGCACATTTTATGTCATACTCACTGCCCAAAGTGTAACACGGTAATTCTTTAACGTAACCCTTTCCGTTAATAACCACTAACGTCTGGGCGAATACCAACGAACAACATTTGCCCATCAACATGGCGGCTCTGGCTAGTCCCGATGTTGCCTGATAATATCTCTTGTCCTGCACCCTAGCGAATAAATAACTGAAGTAGACTACTTCGTACGATTTGAAGAACGCCACACATAGTTCGGCCATCTGTAAAAAAACAAACAAAAACCGAAAACTTAAAGCGTCCGAGAGAAGAGAAAACAATTGTTGATCAAATTATTATGCTCGTCCAACAATAACATATACATAAATTATTAGATTCTACTCCAACGTGGACGGCCCACTCCGTCTTAAATTAGGTGGTTAACTTTACTTATTGCTGTAAATATGATTGATTTTTTTTTTGTAAAACTAATATTGTATGTTCCAATGTTATCTGATATGCAAATCGCAAATGTCAACAACCAAAAAATTGTAAACCATAAGCTTAAGTTTAGATGATTTAATGTCAGGAAAACTTTATGAAATAAAAATAAAAATTAAAAAATAGATTCTAGGCGTATCTTTACGTTAAATAGTTTATAAAATACGATTATCTACACGTGTATTATGTACATAACAGGCACATTCATCGCCAGTAATCCTAAATATTTCGTAATACTAGATGTCTAGATCATATAAGAATCGTACTTACTTTTAATTGGATGAAATTAGGCAACATAACAAGATTTGAATAAACGATAATTCCACAGAAGACATTAAAAAAGATAACTGGTTTGTAAAGTAAATTATCTGTGATCGTCATAATCACCGTAACAGCCAATATGCTGAAATAGTCTCCAAAACGCATCAACTCATCTGTCGCCTAAAGTAAAGAATGAGTACAAATAATTATTGCTAGAAATGGGTAAGTCAAGTCTTAAAAACTCGTCTACCATTATTCAATTATTACATTTATTATTTTTCATTAGCCATCCGTTGTATTGGAGATCAATGTAATATTATAATAGCACAACAATAACTAAAATGTAAATATTTACATTTTTAAACATCGAAATATTACGACGTTAAGGTATTATATTTTTTATTCTAATATGCAGACGTATTTAAGTGTTGTATAATTAAGTGTAATATGCTACAGCTAGCGAAATGATGGAATGCCTTTCTTTACTTATAATACTTTTTATACATACTATAATACCCATTTAACATAATTTGCCAGCTATCTTCACCACTACGCATTTATAAGTATTTTTAAATATTGTTTATGTATACAGTATACAGGTTCCTATACTAGTGGCTACTGCAATACTATAATTATTTATAATCGTTAGATTAATGAAGATATGTTGTGAAGTTGGTTGTTGATGTACCATATTTGACAATAGCTCGAAATATTAAAAAACCACTTTGTGTGTGATATATTTTTAAAAACAAAATTCGTATTAAAGTCTTATTATGACGTATTATCCATATTTATGTTATGCAAATATTTAATTATAGCTTCTTCAATCAACCAGCATAGTCAGTAAATATAATGAGGTAATGTACCTACTGAAGACCTTGTAAAAATATCTAATTTTGTTTTAATGTGTTTACCATGTTTATCTACTTATTCACATGTTTTTTACACGTTACATAAAAACACAATATTGTTGTATGTATCAAATTTAATTATTTCAGTAGGTAACTAGTAATTTGATTTTCTCTTGAGGAAACTAGAGCTCAATAAAAAACACCTACATTCAACATTTATGATAATAGGTGGGTACATAAAGTCTAATTAGTCGGAAAATAATTGCAACGACTTGCATAAATCAAAATATTCAAAAAAATAATCAGCTGAATAATTTAATGTTAAAAATGGTGATTCTCGTTTGACAACAAGAAATTCGTATCACCATAGCTAGGACACATTCATTAAACGATAAAAAAATTTTAAGGTATTCGACATTATGGTTTTCATTATATTTAAAAATTACAAAAATCAGATTTTTACCTGTTAAAATCACAACACCATTGCGCACCAAATGATATGTGTATATACTATATACTATGTATAATAATTTATATACAACATAAAATAATGTATACATTCAATACATTTTCATATACACGCACTTGAACCATATAACTAGTTATTAGGTCTATGACTTAAACTTATTACCTATTAATAATATAATATCAACAAACAAATAATATTGAGTATATTGACTTTAATATAATTTATAATACTATATATTTTCATTTACAAAAGTGCATTTTGTGAATTTATAATTTGAGTGCATGTAATATGTATAATATGCAAGTTATAAAAAGTATGTATTGTATGTATATTGTATGCATTATTTTATATTGTATATAAATTATTATTTATAGTATATACACATATCATTTGGTGCGCAATGGTGTTGTGATTTTAACAGGTAAAAAGGAATCGGGGCGCAATCGTGTTCCAAATTTTTTGGGCAATCGTGGTGTAATTAGTCGGGTCAAAAAAGGAAAATTTGCGCAATAGTGTTGTAGCCGAGAATATAATAAATAGAATTTTTATAAATACAAACGATAAATTGCTCATATAATGTCATTTCAGTACTAGGCATACCAGCATACAATTGCTTAACAATAAACAATTATATAGGTATAGGTATAAACAATGATATAGGTATAAGTGTATAACCATATATCACTAACCATCGACACATGGTTACAAAATAGATATTTGCAAGGACCTTCAATTTTGACAACCTGCAGTTTGTCATAGAAAAATCTAATGGGCCCATTCAATATGGACAGCTACACCTTCAGGGTACTGCCATCGTTCATCATATTATGTAAAGACCGAACAGGTACGTATTTCTCATTCTTGGTTATGTTTTCGGCTTACATACTGTATATTATAACAGTTATATGAAGTGCGTAAGCTATCGTCTGTGCCCGGACTAACCTATTATTATCACTAAAATTAATTTGAAAAAAAAAACGAAAACACCAATCGTATTGACGAAAATTAAATCGGGTAATGTACATCTTGGTAGGTAATTATATATAGTTGGATACTCGGATGTAGAACTTTTAACTATATAGGATCAGTGCAGTGCACATAAAAAGTAAAGTCTCTATATTTTAGTGTGTATATTTTTCTCATCAATCAACAGGTTTATATGGACTAGGTATAAGATTAGGTTAAATTTTTTAGTACGTTACTTTAATACTGACTCAGTGGCGTATCTATAATTTAGTTCTGGAAGTGAGAATGGATAATTTGTTAGGAAAACGTCAGGTGGGTGATTTGCCCCCAATATAACCGACTGCAGTATAAGTATAAAAATAACATTATAAATATGCGAAATCAATAAGCAAATATTACGCTACACCCTACACATTATGGTATATTACCTACTATTATCTATCCCTTTTCTTTACTCATAGGTTACTAGGTTAGGTTATACTAACCATTGCTTATACTCATAAAATTATCTCGGACATGAAAATATTCAAATTTAGGAAGCTATAAACCTCATAAGTTAAAGTTCTACATTAATTTGTTTTTTCGTAACTATTCATTTTTACACTGGTAGGTTAAATAATACCTTAATACATTGTTTTTCTTAAAAATTAAAATGTTTTGGTTAATCGTTTTTAATAATTGTTATACAATATTTGTCCATTTAGGTACCTGGGTATCTGTAGTGTTTACTCCTTGGTCGATGAAATAGCTAGTCATAAAATGATCCAATGGTCGAAATTCTATGGCAAATGCGAATATTACCGCTAACGCAATAATTGTTGTCCAACTACGCATTTTAAAAATATTTAATATCACATTTATTCCTAAAAAAACGGAAAAATAGACACGATTATACCGATTGCAAATATCATTAAATATATGAGTACCACGCACAGTGCAGTCACATAGGTGAATGACTAGAGTCCAGAAGATATAATATTTACTTTCGCATTTGTTTATAAATATGGAGAATAAAAACGTGCCATCAAACCGGTTTATAAAAACCAGTAGAATATTTTAACTTTATGTTTTATATAGTAAAAAAGATATATCAGTAAACCGTGACAAAACAGGTATAGTTTGCATTTCTTCGTTTAGGAATCACGTCATGTTTTATTTGGGGTGCGAAGCTTGATCAAAATACAGAAAAAATACGATTCTAACCAACTGTAAAGCTTAGTTGGACGCGTTATGATTGTATCGTTGAGAAAACTAGACGATCGTGTTTGTAGGTACCTACCTATTTACACCATGCACTATTTTTTTTTAAATTTATATTGTTTTACGTATTTTTAAATGTATTCTTAATGTTATTGTAATACAAATACATGATTGTATCTTCGACTGTATTGTAAATTTGGTTTAGATTGCATTTTGAAAAAAAAACTTTAAAACTGCACAGATATAGATACTTTTTTGTTTGATCATGTTTCATCTTTGGTTGCAATTTATAACTTATAAATAATAAGTATACATTTATGATATAATATACAGCATTGAACTTATCCGTGGTGGTGGCAGTGGCGCAGTATAATCATACTAAGCAATGGACTACTAAATAATTGTTGCTTGTGTTAGCACTCAACACAATATTTCAAATTGTTGTTTTTTTTTATGTTTAATGATGGGAACATGAGGACATTAGCACCACCTGAGATAATATTATTATTTTTAAATTTGCCCTTTTTAAATAAATAGTAAAACAAAAAAATTCCTTCTTTGTTAATTGATTTCCACGATTAAGGTCAACATAATGAAAATTTGATATTGATATAGGAACGGACATGAACGGACGAAAATACCATTGGAATTAATTATATTAAAATTTACATCATAAATCATAATAAATTAGAAAATTATGATACACAATGATATATTATTATAAATTATAATCTTCTTTGCGGTTGAGCTTGAGTGGTCGAAATATTTTATATTTAATACCATAACAGTGTTAAAATTGGGATTAATAAATTAATGACCCGTGTAATATTAAATTAATCAAAATCAGTAATGTTCTAATATTTTGTTTTATCATAGATTATTATCATTGATGATGCTAGATTTAGAATTTTTGTGGCTCAGGCCAAAAAATAATGTGGTCCCTTGGATCTAATACATTTTTCTTGCTTATCTCCTCAATTGTCTTCACGCTACACAGTATACTGTCAAACATTTAAAAAAACACATCTTCACATTGACAATTTACAAACAAATAAAATTAGTTTATTTCTATTACGTGGCAATCGTAATTAATTAAAACAATTTAAATAATTTTCGAAATTTATCCGTAAAAAAACAATTTTGTATATTACTATCAATTATTTTTAAGTGGGACCTATTTTTTTAATTTGATATAAAATAATATAGTATAAAATCGCTACACTAATCAATTATTTATCATGCGCACTTCAGAATCATTTGTTTGGATGCGTTGATTCCCGGGGTGGACAAAGAGAAGCGGCAGTTATAAAGAGCATAACATTTATACTAATATTATAAAGTATTTATACAATATTTATGGTAAAAAATCATTTTATAATATATTTATTGTTTGTATAGTTTGTTTTATATAATTAAAATAATAATAAATCATCATTAAAGATAACATAGTACAAAAAATGTCATTTACAGATTTTTAATTACACATTTTAGTAGACTGTAGATATACTATAGTCTATAATAGATCTGATAGCTATAATAATGTTGGCGAGATATTATTTTTATTTTTATTTGTCTCTGCCACCGTAATATTTTTAGCAGAAAAAAAGAATGGGTACTCCCAATCTAATTTTTATTCAGAGTTAGCACCTATAAATTATATGGATATAATATAATATGGTAATACCATTCAACTATGTATATACTATATGGACCACGATGAAAGTTTTAAGAGTTTTTGAGAGAATTTAATCAAATATTTTTTTTAAAAATTCCAGAATTCTTAACTTGCAACTTTTTCAACACTTTTAGATAACTACCTACAACCTACCTACCAAAAAAAATATAAAACTATATATACAAGATTTAATATTTGATTTACACATGCGTCGGGTTTATTGGAGGTAAGCAGAGACCACAGTCACACAATCCATTCTGTTCAATTTTTCACAAACTATTACTATAGTACTTACATTTTTTCCAAGATAAATATAATATGATATCAATTGGCAATCAGTAATTAAAAAGTAAAATGTATGTGTTATATTGCAAAATAAAACTATTTTATTGTTGAATTTTAATCTGACGGACCGAAAAACATTGCGACGATGCCATCTGTATAAGATATTATATTTTTCACTTAATTTTGGAAAATTAGAATCGTTGTTTTGTGATAATATATTATCACATTATAATATTCAATTTTATATAGCATAATGGCCCCTGTAAAAAATATGCTGAAAATAATTGTACCTATTGATACACACCAGTGGCAATCGGCATGACAATATATTATTATTTTATCATATGAATAATTCACTTTTTTTACCCTCAGCCACGCTGGCCATTGGCTTTGCGGGTTAAGGGTTGGAACACGTGTTTTTATGTGAGGCAAGGATTCGTCTCAAAGAACCCGGATGGTCACCCATCCGGGAGCCTGCGGTGCCGAACGATGCTCGACTGGAGCACACATTAATGCGATTGCGGCCAACCACCGGGCCACACCACACCCATTAATAATATTATTACCTCAAATAAATGTTACTATAGATTTACATGCAGGTATATTTTATTAAATGTCACAACAAAATTTGCAACCAGTTACGTTTTAAACGTACTCGAAAATTACGTAACCAATTACCAGTAAGTTATACAATATTGTTACAAATGTAACGATAGGTTACATTATTTCGAAACACACTATGCAACCGATATATTAATGTCTGACCCTGCATATTGTATTATTATTAAGCGAAATATAATAGGCCTGCACAATCGAATAATTGATCTACAATATTTTTCCAATGTAATTGTTTCTTCGGCAGAGTAGCGGCTCGAGGTCAACTGTGCTGCGGTCATAATGCGTTTATTTACAGCCATTTATGCCATACGTGTTTGTATGGATTAAGCCACACGTCGGGGACCTGAAGATACGTACAGTTTACAATAATTATTATTATTTACTCCCTATATTTGAATACAAGCAGCAATAGCTGCAATCAATACATATAGAAACATGACTCGAGTACCGACCCAGTGTACACAAAAGTGCCCACCCGGGCGATCGGTCCTCTCCCTCATCGTCCTTAAATACGTATATCTGTGCAGTGCATAATAATATCCGCCTTATAGGCCGCGAATGAGGCGCTGTATAGCACTGCAGACGGAGTGGGCGATGAGGGACGGAGAGCACGGCGAGAGAGTAAAACGGTAAAGGATGAAGACGCGACGAAGAGAAAAAGTGGAGTGCGCTGGGTGCGGGTCGAAGCGGCGGCGGTGGCGGCGGCGGCGGCGGCGCCGGTTCAATACTCGGTAATCAAATTGTCGTGCACGGGGGCGCCGTGTCGGAGAGCTTAACTATTAACCCGCGCGGCGTCGGGCCGCTAAACAATAAACATGGCGACCGTGGCGCGCCGTAGTCGGGCGGGCGGCTGCGGACCGGTGCGCACGCGCCCGGCGCACTATTTCATCTCTAACTCTTTCCGGTTGGTCCCGGCCGCACGCCTCCCCGGACACCCGGCCGCCAACCCGGGGGGTTGTGACAGTCGGCCGACCAAGATTAAGCCTCTCCGGGTCGAACCTCAACCCCCGAGCCAAGCACCATCGGCCGACGCCACCGCCGCCGCGCCACCGCCCGCACCGCCACCGCCCCATACACGCCACCGCCGCCGCCGCCCTCTGTTACGCCGCCGCGACTTTTACCGGCCCGACGAGTTAAGCTCCGAGTCCCGGGGCATAAGCCAAACGCGAACCGGATACGTCACTCGTACATAATACACGCAACAATCCGATTATTTTCACGCGCGCGCCGCTCGAGATATTTTTTCCGTTTTTCGAGTTTTCATTGTTTTACCTGCTCGTGTCTTCGCGTTTCCGTGCCCCGTGCCGGTTTTCCCAGTTTTGTCAGACCTGTGATTTTCGATTTCATGTATGGTACAATATATTTATCTACCACACGACCCGCACGCTATTCCCGCAGTGCGTAATATAAGGCGAGGCGCCTTTGCGTCCTTCTCAAAGGTGCCAGTTTTTCCATATTTCGTATCGTATTGAAACCAACCCGTTTGCTGCACATATCACTTAAAGTTAACTGTCGTTAATATTTCAATAGTATATTATCACACCGTTCCGGTTACGATATTTGCGTACAATAGTATAATATTTAAGGTAAGCTATATTTTTCAACCAATATTTATTATTATTTACTTGTTTTGAACGCCACGCCGTCATGAATTTGAAAAAAAATGTTAGTAATTTTTTATAATGTCTAATATTATTTATTATTAATTTAATTATGACGTAGCAGGTAAGCGATTCACCACCTTCATTATTCACACAGTTATATTCATTATATTTGTTATTATATATTCTTTACCTATACTAATATAACTGTATTTTATTCATAAACATGAATTTTCCTTTCACAGTACATATTATGTAGTAGTATATAGTTTTGAAAATGTAAAAGTTCTTTATACTTATATAAATCCTACTAATAGGTGCACAATATTTAAAATGTTTGCAAATTATTTAAAAATTCAAATTATTTTTATTTTGAAAAATATATATTAGTACTTATATACTTATCATTATGAAAATATAGTTTCAAGGAAATTGTTTCAACTGTATTGACCCAAAATATAAGTAAATTATAACAAATATTTATTTTGTATATTACCAGTATGTTTATACTCGTATTTTATGTTATGATTAGTTTACTTTTAATATTATACCTTTCAATACTTTGAAAAAAATAGTAGGTATTGCTAATTAAAAATATATTAATCAATACAAAAATAATAAAATAATGTAGTTTTATCCCATAATATACTCGTAACAAATAGGGATATTGTAATGAGAATACAAGTCGACATCCGTCCAATGTAATCTTAAGTTATAGGTACACAGTAAGTTGTCATGCGTTTGAAAATAGTTTGCAATGGAAATTTTATATTATTATTATTATTATTATTAATTATTAATAACTTTAACTAAGAAATTGTGAAATATTTGTAGTATAATTTGATACCTATGATATATTTAATGACCAACCAAAGCAATACATAACACATTTTGTATTTATTAAAATCTAATTATAGAACCTATGATGTAGGTACCTATACCAACATTTTTAAAAACCAATGTAATTTCTAAAGTATTAAATATTTGCAAAAATACCACCATACTCCTTTAAAAATACTGAAGTTTGTTTAAAATTCATAATTGTTAGTTCTAAAATAATTTCAAGAAACACCTATATATATTGTTATTCAACAAAGTCTTTAAATGTATCCACCTAGATTGTACCCTGTGAATATGTATACAAAGATGTACACAACCATTTTTCTCCATTGCTTTTCTTAAAGAAATAATCAATTTTGATCCATAAATCATGATATACATTTTATTTATACTTATTTTAGTTATACGTTGGCTATTCTAGTGATATTTAAGTACAAAATATTTAATAAATATATAAAATAATATTTATAAAATATTTTAGTGGTTATTTAATAATAACAATTTCTGAAAATTTTAAATTTGAGAAAATATTATTAAAATTATGAGTTAATTTGTTGAGCTGTAAATAGTGGAAGCTCAATCTTAGATTTACAAGTTACACAATTTTATTATTCATTTTATACCTTTATAAAACCTAAAAAATATGATTAAAAGGTCAGTTTTTGTAATGATTATGATAAAGTCACTTATTTAGCTATATTTAATATACTATATAATATATAACTAAATTCATATTCCATTTAAATTATTTTGATTTTAATAATGTCTACATAGGATTTGATGACAGCAAAAAAAAAAATAATAACACGGAAAAAATACGCCCATTCCATTTCTCGCACGTGACCAGCCCCCGGTCAACAAAAATAACCCTAATTTCTGAGACTACAATAAAATATGTAGAATAAAAAAAATGTTTTCATAACCAACAGTTATTTATAATAATATAATATACATTTTATTCTATTATTTAGTACTATAGAGTATAGATAAAACTATAGATCTATCAACATGCAATAGTTAATATGTATCACATCAAATAATAATTGTATAATATTTAATTATTACTTCCCTTTTTTAGATTCAGACTAAAAATGAACCTAACCACAACTGATGCAGATCGATCATTCATTTCAATTCAACAATCTGCACAACCTATTTTCTCATTATCTGATCCAAGGATGGGCAGTATTCATTTAAATGCTGACAGTGACAATCGAGGTAAAGTCTTTTTATTATTTTCGATTAATAATAAACAAAAAATATTCAAGAAACAAATTTTAGGTTTTTTAATCGATTTTTAGACGCTTATGTACCTACTATTTAAAACTGCAGTTGATGAATGATAAGAAAAATAATATTCTTCATTACATTATGGAAAAGCAAATTACAATTCATATAAAATAAAAATTACTGTTAACGCTTTTGGCATAGTTGAAATATTGAACATTATTTTATTCTTATTAATTGATATAATAAAAGAAAATATTTATTCGATAAATAAAAAAAAATAGGGATGGTTTTCGGATTATTTGAACCCTTGAGCTCCTCGAAATATAAGAAATGTGAAACGTTCAGAATTCAGGAAACATTTAGAAATAAAAGTGCGAATTCAAATAACTCAAAAAAAGTCAAATTTAAAATGCTTGAGTTAAAAGTAAAAAGTTAATGTTCGGTTACAACTATACTATTTTTTTAAATTTATTTAAATGACTTCATTTTAATTTAAAATAAAATTTGTTTGTGTTTTAATATTGAGTTTTTAAAGTTTAAATGAATAGAATAAGATTCATGTTCGGATTTGAACAATTAGAAATAAATTGAGGTTGAGTCTGTGAAAATTAAAATTTTTTCTAAATAAAAACCTGGATGGTTTTTGAAGTACTCTTTAAAAAAATGATTTTATACTGCTGTTAAATATGTTTTATACTGATTTTATTACGAATTCAAACATAAAAAAATGTACTAAATTATTTAGCATTATTTAACTTAATTTTTTTTAACATTATAGAATTAATATACACGAATTCTCACTAAGAGCGACATACATCGTGTTTAATTTATTTTATATAATGTGGTAATTATTTGTAGAAGTGGAAAAAATCGTGAGCAATAATAATATGATATTGAGTAAAACAATAATATAAAAGTAAAGTAGGTAGTTATACATATATATACGGTATACCAATTGTATACCGCAGTGTTCGTGAACACAGTGAGCTCAATCTGCATTACTCATTGTTAAACAAGACTGATGCAGACGGCAGAAGAAACTTTAAATAGCGACGGAAGATTGGAATAAATGAGTGTTGGGGCCCGCGGTGTATTCCCTCGGAGCTTAGAAACGTCCCGCGGTGGCGGTGGCGGCAGCGGCGCGTATCGCGGGAACGGGGTGAGGAAGAGGAATAAATCTGTTGCTAAATGGGAATACGCATCCTGGTGCGTGCTGTCCCTCCCCCCCCCCCCACTCACCACGGCGACAGAATCCCTCGTTCGCCAAAGTCAAGACCTTCGTGCGCGTCGGAGACAGAGAGAGAGAGAGAGAGAGAGAAAAAAGAAGCATTTCCCTCGGAATATAGTTTTGCAATTTGTCCGATTTCATTAGCATTTCTAACAGAACCTCGCGCGGAGGGCGACAAAAAAAAAATAAAAATAAATAATCCCTCCCCTCGCCAGCGTCGCACGCGTATACTTACCCAATTTCCGTGTATATTTATGCAATCAGACGCAGCCAACAATTCCAGCCACTTTGGCGTTCGCCTTTTTATTTTGTTTTATACGCACGCAAATATAATATCATTTGGTTATTTATTTTTCCAGATTGCTTCTTTTGCGATACCGATCAATAGTCGGATAGGGTCCATATTGTCTGCAAGTTATCTGTTCAAACGTATAGGTAGTTTCTCTCGCATTAACTGAGCCAAGATACGTCAGATTAACTAGTTAACGCCGCCATACACGCGAAGTCATTCACCCCTTTCTCGGAGAAAATTAGCTCGCGTTGTTCGATTTGCTTACAATCAAATAATACCCAAATAATGCACAATGTGTGGGTATTACTGTTTACAATATCCATTGATTTTATTATAATATGGGCTTTTTATAATTTTATTCTATATTTAACACATTCGATAAAGTCGGCTGTCACTATATACAGCAGCACTGAGCATTTTGACGGATATGTAACTTAAAAATCGTACTCACCGACATTTTGATACCATTTATTGTATAGTTATTCGGATCACTTGTCGATGCTATATCGCTATATCTTGAAAAAAATGCAAAATAATAGTTATTTTAATACTTTATTCCATTAATAATAATCTAAGATTTTTAGAATAACATGTTGTTTTACAGCTTGCGGTAATGCGGTTGACCAAACTATTTACACCTGGTACTACAAGTCACCTATTATAGATTTAACTACTGATGACATTTTAGTCATTGTACGTTCTTACATAATTTTTCGCTGACTTTTCTTTTACTGCTTTAATACCTGAATAATCTGACAGGGAACAATCAAGGATTATTTGTATAAATATTAATAAATCTAACTAAATCTATTACAATAATAAAATTCAACTAAATAATAAAACATATTAGAAACTGTAGTTTAGTAAATTAATTATAAGTTTAAAGTTATCAAGTCATATCAATATAACAATTAATCACTTATATTATATAAATATTTTTTTCTTTATATTTGAGTATGTAAGACGGAAGTATTTGCTTAAAATAGTTATTACTTATTACCTATGGCTATATGTTATTATTAAACTTTATATTTTGCTTGTACCGTATAGTAAAAAGCCGAATGGTGTTAATTTTATTAAACTAACAAATAAACAAATAAAAATGGGGAAAAATTCCTTAAAAGATATTTTACTACTGGAAAAAATATAGACAGAAATTGCTATAGGTGTTAATCTAATAATTAAAGTTTAAAATATTATCTAATCTATATAAAAGAAGTTATTATAAATAAATATTATTATACATTTTTCTCGGTAGGGATTAAAACCTTTGAGAAAAAAACCATAACTAAATATCTTACAGGACCCAGTACCAGGTTTTCAAATGTTTCTCAATTTTTTACAACTTTATATTTTAATTGTCACCTTGATTATACAATACTTTCCCTCTAATCTACTGCCCGATACCTATTCGAGGGAAGTTGATACTATGTATTATATCGAGGAAAAATTAATTTTCAGGCCTTGTAGTTTTGTCGAATTTTACAACAAATTATATAACTACATTTTATCTGAAAAAAGGAGACTTCCTACAGGCCTTACTGAAATCCGTTTTTTTGTTTTATTTCAAATAACGGCATAATATTGTTTGTAAAAAGATACTCAAAATAATTGTACAAGTATTATTTTTGAAGACAAATGATAAAGTTTGAGATTAAAATATTGAAAAACGGAGTTCGGTGTGGTCAATAGAATATTACCCTTTTAGTTAAAAAAAAAAAATCATCAAATGCGGTTGATGCTTCAGAACTGGATAATTATTCGAGGTTTTATTAGAGCGTATTTTTGTGGATAAAACTAAATCGACACCTGGCGTCTTAATGTGCACTATCTTTCGGTCATTACAACGTTTGCCAGGACAATTGTAGTAAATGCTGCACATTATATTTTACAGAAAATCTATAACTGCATTATATACACTATACAGTATATAATATATAGGCTGCAGTAGGCACTTGTAGTAGGTACGTTATTTTGTTTTATATTCTCTTCATTCTTGAAACATGGTAAAATCCCCGGTTACCAATTTTCAATAAGACCCGGTAGTGACATCTGGAAACCCTTCTTCACAAAACAATGTCTTAGCTATCTAAAATGTGTTTTCCTTCGTATGTATTTAATAGTCGATCTTCTTACTATTCCAGTGGGTTTTTTTTATTTTATTTACCTTTTCTGCTTATGAACCTCAACTGTCTTGTATAGTTGTATCTACTATGAATTAGTGTCGTCTATTAAATATTCAAATTATATATTTTTGATGTATACATGAACTATTTGGTTCCTTATTGTTTTTCATTATTGCCGATTAGTTGTAATTTTTGAATCATAAAATTGTACAATATTATAAAACAATAAATTATACTATACAAACGTTCTCTGTCGGTCTTCTGGGTATTAGCATACATATTACAAATACACATACAACTTGTTTAATTATTTTTTCAATACACTCAAATGAGAAATTAGACCTTTTATCTAATGCAATTTAGGTATAAAATATGCTCTCTGAAAGACCCTAATATAATATTAATACCTATAGTAAATATATTTTATTACCAAAAGCACACTACACTTATAAACAATCCAGTTCATCTTGGCGCTCGTCAACCGTCACGATTTTAAAAAACAAGGGGCTTCATACTATATTATATTGAAAAAAATATAGTTTTTAGACAACTGTTTTTTTTTTTTAATAGTAACTTTTGCCGAGTGCCAAGATGAGGTGGACGGATTATACCGGTATAGTAACTAAACAAAATAATAATATTTGAAAATGTATGATATTATTATTGTGCATTAACAATATTGACTATTATACAAATTAAAATGTCCTATAATATAACAATGACAAATCATAATATTATAATTCTGATTAAAATATAATTTTAGTATCTTAACAACATTAGGTAAAGTTAAAATAAATATTATCAATGAATTTGGGTACGCGAGGATAGTATTAAAATACGTAGTATAGTGTGTAAAATAAGTGAAGCAAAGTTGTCATCCATCTATATAATACTAATAAAACATGACTCATTGGGCACATAATACCTGCTTTATATTTTGTTTCTTATCTACTCTTTTTTTGTTATTTTTATATGAATATATTATATTAACCACAGACAAACCCTATACTGAGTTTGATCTGAAATATATGGGATTTCCAAAATCCCTCGGGACCCGAATTCCCCACCAGCTTGCAGTTCTCGTCAGCTTAGATCCACCGGTCAATTTTCAGACCTCACTCAATTTTCAGTTTATACGTCAAGAACATTTATAAACAGCTTTGCAACTTCAAAAAAATAATGAATATCTATACAACAAATCGAAATAATCAAAAAATATAATTTAAATCAAATAAATTTTATGGTTTTTATATGGATAAATTTACTTACAAAATATACTGTATAAACACATTAATTAATAAATATATATTATTTAAATACAAAAATTGAATTTAAAAAAGAAAAAACAGTTGATTAGAATATTATATATAGATTTCATAGTTGTATCCCATTCGTTTTGTGAATTAATTTGAAATAGTATATACATTTATAGTACCATATGCATACGTGTGACCTATTATATTTAACACATAACTGTCGTTTTTATTTGTATTGGGCGTATATCATTGCGTATATCATATTAATTATGCATATTATGATATTACAGTAAGCATGACTGTGCGGAGTATATTATAGAATCGGGTTGAAACACTTACCACGTGTTTACATTAAAAATCGAAACCAGAGAAGAGCTTTCGTAGTATAATAATTGTACTACATAGTTCCGATCGAAACAATAATAATATAGCTAGTTACGCGTAATGCAAACCGCGAACGAATCGCATAATAATGACATAGCAACAGTCGCGTCAGTAAGTACGACCTATATCGTGTAGTTATCGTAGAGCATATTATACTTTATTAAATAAATGGCCGGAAGGATGCGGTTTTTTTGGCGCGCCGGTTAGCTTGTCGGCGTCGATGTCGTCGTCGCGGCTGCTGCAGGACGGCAGCTAAAAATGACTTTTAAAATTGTACAATATATAACACGCTGTATACACGCGCGCGCGGCGGCCGTAAGCGACGATTCATTCGGTGTCCGGGAAGCCGCGCGCCAGATGTGCCCGCGACCGGCTAGCCCTCCCCTAGCGGAGCCGGCGTTAAGCCCCGGCCGGTTTTCCAGGCGCGCACGCCCCCCATGGGGATAATCAATCGACGCGCCGCTTCCGTCCGTCCGTCCGCGGCGGCGGCGGCGGCGGAAAATAATATATTCTACGCGTATATATATATATACACACGGCGGTGTGCACGCACCGCGGCTATCGTTGCCGTGCTTAAATAAGCCGGATTTAATGATTTCCACCGTCGCCCCCCCCCCGGCAATGTCCGCGAGGGCGCCTATCCGGCGGACTTGGTGGTAACAATTATTATGCAACACGGTTTTGTTCGACATTGTTTTGATAAAGCAGACGCGACACATAATATATTATTACGATCATAATATTATAGCAATATGTCAAAAGTATACCTCGCGCGCCGCAGACGTTTATTTCAAGCTCGTATTCTTTGTTTATGATATTAACGTAAACTTCATAATAATAAACGATTTTTTTCTATTATTATTATTATTATTATTATTATTGCCGTATTGTCTTTCTCCGCGAACGTTCTCTTGCGACGTTCGAATGCAAATTGTGCGCGTTCTTACACGTAGGTATGGGCACTCGTAATGTTATAATATTATATTGCTCTTAAATGTGTCGAATTGTTCAGGTGTACTGTCATTTTTAATTTTCGATCCGATTCCCAATGTATGGAAGATATAATATTTTCTACTATACCGTTTCAGAAAATTTGAAAATATTTTCGTTTTGAATTCGTATAATTGGTAGCGGTTGCCGTTGTGCGTGCGATTTTTTTTTAGCTATAATAATGTTAGTATACGATAACCAGTTTGTCGCGTTTTATAAACAATAAGACATATGGAGCAACGGGTCTCGCAAATCATTATTGGAATTATCTGCGTACTAACTGGTCACGGAGGGCCCTTCATCGTGGCATGGGCGTCATTTCAGGCTTAGGATAGGGGTGCAAAATCAGCATGTGCGTGCCGCTGAAAATGTTTACCACACCAGTTGTGTTAATGCTATACAAAAAAAAGAATATACCTATTACACTGTAATATTTGTTTCAAACTGTGTATAATGACTACTTGCCCATAAGTTTAGACGGTGGAACGGCACATACGGATCATTCTCAAGAATCACGTCTGAGTAGGTGTGGATTCAAAAAAAAATTAACTCCAAACTAGGTTACGACTGATATTTTTTTACGCACTAAAAATTATTTACATTACAATTTAAAAATATATTTTCTATTTTTATTTTTGAAAATCGGTTGACAGCTTCGCGGCTTCGTGTACCTACATATTCGTGTACCATAGTACAGAGGATATATAGCTGCCTAGTTTTCTAACCATAAATAACCAGCGCCTTTTCTCTCGTCCCCATAGTGGTCATTAAATAGTTCATAGCCCTTTTTAAAGACCAAAACCCATTTTGGCGATGCTTTTACATTATATGGGCATGTAGTATCAATAATATTGAAAATACAGGAGAAGCTTCTGGTCGAAATAATTTTTGAAACGTCATATTCTATTGTTATTTCATCAAATTGTGTTGAATTATTTTATTGGATGATTCAAAAGTCTTCGTACGATTACAGAAATTCATTTTTATTTTGAAAATTAAGACCCGGAGGGGGGGGGATAAAGTAATAGAAAATATTCATAAAATAATCGAAGAAGAGTGTTACAACTTGTTCGACATGACCAACTGATTTTTTTTTACTTGTCCATCTCGTCACTAACCGACGACGGCAGTTCGCTAATCAAAAGCTCACAAGACACGTCTGTCGGATGAAAAATTTCGGATCGCCTTGTGTCTTGTGTTGTGATATGCAAAATGAAAAATATTTGATGTTTTCTCAAATTTGATTGCACGAATAACGAATATTAATTAAACTAGATTTTTATAATATTTTACCCATAGGTACATTGCATTAGGTAAATTGTCTAATTATATATTGTGTTGGGGGGCGCTTATACCTATATAGTGACGACCGCACCCCAATGCCACCCCCCCCCCCCACCACCATTGTTGGCTCCCTGTTTCCACCCCCGGCCACCGCGAAATCGCGCGTCATAAACACCACACTAATGCCCGGCCACGCGCTATATGTTTGCTATACAGACACGGACTCGAGTTATTCCATGCGGGACAGGCCGCTGTCGCTCTGCATGTCGGCCGCTTGTGCCGCCCAACAGGTACCGGTGTCCGCGTCCAGAACGCCGCCGACGTCGGTGGCCACGACCGCGGGACATTACGCGGCGGCGGGTGGCCAGGCCGTAGCCAAGACCAAGACACTGGGACTGACGTGCGTCGTGTGCGGCGACACGTCAAGCGGGAAACACTACGGCATTTTGGCGTGCAACGGTTGTAGCGGGTTCTTCAAGAGGAGCGTCCGGCGCAAACTCATCTACAGGTCAGTGCATGCGATTATTATTGTTTATAGGATGTAATAATATATGACGTGATATTATTTTGATGTATTGCAGTCAAGTCGATAGTAATGTGCATAATTGCATAATACGACGCACCACGTCATATTATTATTATAATAATATTATATTATAAAATTATCGTGGAGATCAGCTGCAGTGGCGTATTTAAGGGTGTGATAGTATTTAAATTTAAATTTAAACGAATAATGAATTTGTCTAATGCATTTAACGCAAAACGTATTACACATGATTTACTCGACATCTATTTATAAGGTTAATATTTTGTTTGGACCATTGTTATTATAATATTTTATTAGCCTGTGTTATGTGCTCCCTTCTGCGGTAGGCACATAAGCTGGGTAGTCCATTATGTAGCTGGCTTGTTGTATTAATATTTGAGAACTAAAATGTTCAGTTCACATAAATGACAACAATTGTATTAGTTTGACATAAAAATACAATAAGTCAGACAATTCTTTACTTGAACCGGGAATAATATTTTTGATATTGGCTCTGATTATATTGGCTTTTAATGCAAATTCGATGAATTGAATAAAACTGGTGGGTATAACCTTCTATTCACCCTCTTTCATATTCAAAATATGTATTATGTCACTAGGGGTTCGGGAAACAGTACACAATACAATACGTCACTATATATACATGTGTTTAATCGTAATTTGACAATGCAAATTAATTCAATGTGTGTACAGTTTTATGTAAAAATGTACACCGAAAAAGTGTTAAAATTATTTATTTTTTGTAAGAATTATGAGCATATTATCGAACCGCGCTGACTGTTGTTTTTAGTAGGTATACGGTATACCTAATATATATTTAGAGACACCTTAATCATAATAGTAATCTACTATACAGAGCAAAAGACATATTATATTGTGTATTGATGTATTACAATATTATGTGATATTTACAATTTTTAATTACATTATTTATTTCTTATTTTACTCATGAAAATAGTATTTTTGTTTCATATTAGTTCATATACGTACTTTATAATAAATTATTGTATTTTATTTATAAAAACAAAAATATCCATTATAATAATTATTATTGATACAGGTAATAACAATTGAGAAGCGCCTTCGAGTTATGCAATTCCGAGGTCCCATTGTAAAATATACCATTGATTATTATAGTGTTTATAATCAATGCTAATACTAATATCATTTATCAACTGTTAATTAATGTCAATAATAGCATCACACAATATAAATATAAAATATATATTAATATTTTAATGCACTGTTACTCTTCATTGTTACGACCTTGAGAGTAAATGAAAATTATATTTTAAAACGCAAATTATAATATTTTTTAAATATATTTAATGTTTATACATTTTGTTGAACATACGAATAATGTTTATTATTAATATTTATTATTTAATATAAACAATGTACGTACCTACATAGTACATTGTATGTATGTATATAATATAAGTGTACACTGTAAGTACCGATATGTATAAATAATAATAGTTTATACGAAATCCTCTAGAAATCGTGTCCTGCTGAAATTTTTATTCTATTTTTCTTCCCAAGCGACCTGTAGTAAACGATTCCCCTTTTGGTGATTTTGAAGGCCGTAAAAATCCAATGTTTGTTCGCATTACCAGATACCATAAACCTACTCGCACCACGAACGCCACCGCTGCAGTAGTGATATTCCATAATCAAATGTATAACGCTGACACACACACACACACACACACACACACGCACACACGCACGCCCGAATACAAGATATTATGTGTTTTTTTTTATCCATACACAATACCAACTAAAATATATGTATTATTTTTTTTATATTTATAATATGTATATGTGTGCGGGCATTAAACGACGCGTGTTCCTTGCGCTTTTCCCTATTCCACGTATATACATACCTGATGTATATACCCATACGTGTGTGTGTGTGTTGACTGTGCGATATGTACGTATGTATACATATATATATATATGTATAATGTATATATGTATGTAGGCATTTGCCGCTCGTTCGTTTGAAGCCTATAGGCTGCCGCCATGCAGTGTACGAGGAATCTTTTTCTCTTATTTTTTTTTCTTTTCTCCTTTTCAATTTCATGTCTCTAATACTCTTGAACGGTTATAAATAAATGTGATTCAGTAGCGAAAGAGGGTTTGACGTTTTATAACAGCTCCTCGGGATTACTGTATCGGGACGCTGAGTATGGGGGGGGGGGGGGGGTATATATAGTTTAGAAAGCCAAGCGCGGCAAAAAGATTCAATTATATATCTCTAACGTAATACTACTACTGCGGGCACGCCGCCGCGGGCCGGCCAAAAGCCCTATATATTCCTCCTCGTCCGCTCTCGGTCTCTTTCTCTGTCACCGTTGCACCCCCCCCTCCATCTGCCCCTTATTGCTGCTCGCTCGCTCGCTCACTTGCTCACCACGTCCTTCCGCCGCCTCGCTGCAGCCATTACAAACTATATACACGCATTTTCTCGAAATCGATCGTCTTTCCCTTTCGCAATATACTTTTTGATTGGTTTTCGGCGAGAACACGGTCATAAGACGGCCGCGTTTCTCCGCCGAACATAGGTATGTAGTATACCAGGTGCGGTCACGCAGCCACTCCTGCAGCTCAATCTTTTCTGCGAGAGAAAACTTACACGAAGACGGGTGCGACCGTGTACTGCAGAACCGTTTTTCGGCTACATATATATATATATGCAATAAATTGCATGCGCATGCGCACGTATAGTTACAATATCACAATATTATATATTGTTAAGTTATTTATTATTATTATTATTATTTAATGTTTGCAATATTCATATTTGTTCAATGAGATTATATTTTAATATTTGCAACATGAGATTTTATGATAATATTATGCACATACCTGTATGTACATCGATGAATTCGCATGTGTAATCATGAAAAATACGCAGGTATGGTAAAAATATAAATATCCAATGCTTGTAATTTAATTTACTGCTCTACCTACCTAAAAAGTATCTACTATTTAATCCATAGGTTGAACACGATTATAATATACGATTAAATAATTGTTCGTATTCTTATCATGTATGATGGAAATGCCTTGAAAGTTACTTATTAACTTTTATGTTAATAATAATAATAATATATACTATGTAATGATTATTCCGTGGTGTTTTTTTTTTAAATATTTATTTTCTTTCACTCGTAGGGACGAGGCTATGGTAATTGGTACAGTTTAAATCTATAAAGTTACTACAGTTATTAACCACCACTATCTATGTATTTTTATGGTGATCATTTTCTAGCTTTATCAATAACGTGAACCGAATCGTGACGACAGGATCGGCGCATAATATTTTATTGTTTATTATTTCTATAACACCAATTTCCAATCCTAACCGGATGTAATGTACATTGCAATTTGTACATAGCCACATAGGACACTGTATGTATATATAAATCAAACTGCGCTGCAGCAGCATCTCATTATAGACGCTATGTATAGCGATGGGCACCGATGGATTTTCTGTGGCAAATGAAAATCAAATTATGAAAGGGTCTTCGAGGGAATTAAAATGGTAAACTTATTCTGTCGAGGGCTTCTGCCGCTCTTTGACCGTGACCCGCTAACAGGTTTACACTTGTGACGGCCGAACGATTACCTTCCACACACCGGATACATTATATGTGCATGTATGTGTGTGTGTGTGTGTGTGTGTGTGTGTGTGTGTGTGTGTGTGTGTGCACGTTGTATATAGCAATAATAATTTCCACCCTTTGTGGAAACACATCGCCACCCCATGTGCACGTTATTAGTGCAAATCCCATAGCCACAATAGTAGGAGCTGCAGAAAGACGCATTAACGATAAATTGATTTGTTTAAAGAGTACACCCTTCCCACACCCCATGCTGTTGCGCTCGTCCCGTGTCGACTGAGTGTGGTACGTACTTATCCACACACACACACACACACACACACACACTCAATTCGATCGACGGAATTAAATCTCGGACCCGATCGCACCCCTGGGACCCGTGGATGCCACTTCACCATCGCCCACGCCAACTTCGACGTATAGACGGTATATAAGCGCGTATCGAACAAACGAAGGGTCAAACTTATTCGTCCATCTAAAGCTGACTTTTTTTTTTACTTCAAGTCATTCATTTTATCATTTATTAGAGTAAACTGTAGGTTCGGCCAAAAGGAAAATAACATTTTCTAAATGATATCGTGTAGGGACTATATTATGCGGGCACTGCAAAAATATTCAAATATAAGTACATGTTCTTGAAACGTCTTACATAATATTATGTCGACTTGTAATATAATAATGATATGCTTGGAAACATTGGTACCTATATTTTTTAGTATTATGGCTGAAACGGAACTTAGAGTCTATTTCCTATTTATAATTAAATTATATTTTATACTATACTACTTATAAAAGAGTATGATCTTAGTGTTTTATCTGATGATTTATAGTGGTTTACACGATTTTTTAAGCAACATTATCATGTTTGATACATATAAATGTACAATATAGACGATTATTTTGACTTGAAAAAACAAACTGCCTAAAGAATACTTACATAATCTAAAGTTTGTTTTTGCTTCAAAATATTTAAGAAGGTATTTTATGAAAAAAAATAGCAGTTGGTGTGAATTATTTTTTTGATATTTTTTATCTTCATTGGTTAGCCGTTGGCTAAGGGTGTTGGTGGCGATTGTGGGTGCTGAGGAAAGCCCCTGCTGGGCTTTTTGTAATGCAGTAAAACACAACCCCCACACCAAAAAAAATCTATACCTAACTTAATATCATAGTGGAATGATGTATGTTCATAAAGGATTTTGACAATTCAATAAAATACATTTACGCTACATATTTTTAAAATAATAAAATATAGTATGGATGTCGCTATGTTTGATGATTGGAATTAGACCTTCGGAAGTTGTGCAGCAGGTGTGTTATATAAGATATCAAAAATCATTTTTGCGCTTGCGTGCAGGAAATAGGGGGCGTGCAATGGGAGTTTCTCCGCCATTGTCGACCGAATGAGAAATGTCTTGATAAAAATATATTCGTTAATACAAAAACGGTACACAAGCGCATTGCAAGACTGCAGGATTAAAATAAAAATACAGAATGTTTCTAACAATATTATTGTGTAATATAACTTGTAACTGCGTAATTGTTGTTTATTATTTATCGTTAAATGTTGGTAGTAGGTACTTAATACATATAATACGTATAACTACTATTATAATATTACCAAGTATAGGAATACGGCGTATTATACATTTTTTCATAAACAAAAAAACAAATTTTGGCACGAGCGACGCCGGGTGGGTCAGCTTGTTAGTAATATATATATATATTTGTACATATTCCTTTATACACAATCTGTCATATACCAACTTATATTTTATATTCACGTTGTTGAAATTTGTTTTGTAAATTATAGATGTCAAGCGGGAACCGGGAGTTGCGTAGTGGACAAGGCACATCGTAACCAATGCCAGGCGTGCAGGCTGAAGAAATGCCTTAACATGGGCATGAATAAGGACGGTGAGCAAACCTATAGGAAGCTTATTAGAAATGTTTTACCTAACTTATAATACGATTATAGTTATAACATGTGTTAACAACACAAGTACAATAAATCCGGGGAAGTTGCTCGGCTGTATATTATGCTTATCGTTTATGCCAGTAAAGTTCAGTAGGTTAGGTACTATAAATGTTTAAAATGGATGTTTTGAATTTAAATACTATGATAATAACTGCGTTTTTAACAATTTTAAGCGAAGACCAACCGTCAGCTTATGTTTCTAAGAATATTTTATTATATATTCATATTACTTATATGGTAATTTATTACTAAGGTTAGGTTGAATTAATTTTTTTCAAAACAAACGACATCATATTATATTAATTCATATAATATTATTAGCTGACAATATCTACCGATATACTGTGAACCGTATATATTTAGCTTAAAATTAATCCAAATATTTTGAAAACGTCATTTTTACATTGAATATAATAGTAAATAATATACGTAGTAGAAATAAGTTTCAAGTCCCTATGAATAATATTTTTGAATTACAACAAAATAACGCGTGAGGATTAATCTTTATTACCTATATACGTGCGTTTGATTTTTTGAATATCCTGCAATTTCGTCTAAAATTGAACTTAAACCGCTAATAAAAAAACGTATGTCAATTATTGTGAACTTACGCTAAACTGTATCTTAAGCAGAATTCATCGGCCCGCTTAAAGTTTATAGTTGCGAATTAAAAGATTAGTATATATGACTTTTGTTACTGATCTTGCTAATTGGATACTAGAATATCATGTTTAGTAGTACAATAGCATAATATAGTACTATAATATTGTGTTTGGTGGGATTGTGGGAAATGTTGAATTGGTAGATACATAATGTTATTATGACGCCGGCAGGTTTGCTCGCAGTCTGAACCGACATCCACGTTTCTCATCACGGTATCTATACACGGCTACACACGACGGTAAATGTGTACAATGCGTGTAATAATAATAATAATGCGTTATTAAAACACCGTCGTAACAACGTCCGTTGCGCGAAATATAAAGGATCCGTGCTACGCGATGTATAAATAGCTGTGGCGGGCGGTGGCCACGTGTTCGCGCGGTGGTCGACCCTCGTTAAAAAAAAAAAAAAAACATCAAAACACAGAGGCAGAAAGAGAACGAGATGGAGCATAGTGAGCGGGAGTGAGAGTGCGAGTGAGAGTGGACCAAGTTAACCGAGGAAAATGTTTTTCACGCTCATTTAAATAAACATAAAACGACCGCGCTGTAACAACACACACAATATGTAAAAACTAAAAAACCGCGACGTGTCATTACAAAGTGTGAGCGTGCGTTGACGACGTATATATTGTACGTGTACATTATAAACAGTCGTGTCGCATTATTACAATATGTATATATTATTATTGTATTTGCGATTTTATTTTAATGAGCGCGCCCGCGCATCCCCCGAAGAGTATAATGACAATAATATTATACAACGTTATATTACGTGTACTAAACGTGCTGGCGAAGTCGTGTGGGATTTTTATTTTTGTATTCGTCGCCCGTCTTTTAGCCCGCGGCCGGTGCGGGCGCACACGTCGGGCTCGCCGCAAATGAGGACTGAGAAGACTTGTGGGAGAGAAAAAAAAACAGTAGCGAATAGTAGAAAACGATATTATTTATCACACACGCGTAACGAGGCGCACATACGTCGTATGGGGTATTACAACCGTGTTATTATTATTATTATTATTGTTGTTGTTTTGTCGCGCGCGCATCGTGACGTGCGGTTATCGTGGTGCCCCCGCGGCACCGTTATTATCATTAAAAAGCTTACGCTCAACAAACGCCGTCGCGAGATTCTAACCGCACCGACGGCGACGCAATCAAAGGGATTTCGTGCCGTGACGATTCGCCACACATTACTACACCGATATGCGCTGCATTTAATATTATTCATATTTATTATGATATTGTAATAATTATAGGTATACACAATAATATAATATACTATTTGCATTGTGCACACGGTGTTGTATGAACCTATTTATAGGCCTATAAATGTTGTGCATTTGCATATTCGCATAGGTATGTGTACATCGAGATAACGACTTTGTGAAATCGATATTTTCGTGAAAAATTGAGTAAAAAAAATTATCAATTCCGCATGAAAAACAGTGTAAAAAACCCTGTGTGAATACAAAAATATATTTGACGAAAATGTCTCCTTTTCGTGATATGATCACTCCAATTTCGCATGGTGTAATTTTTTCACAAAGTGGTGGTCATTCACTCTGTGAAATAAAACATTCACCAAACAAAATAATTAATATTATTATTAATTATTCGTGTCATATTTAATACTATACAGGATTTTTACTTAATATCTAAATTTAAGTTTTATTTATAATTCATATAATAATACGTTAAGGCTTAAAACAGTAATATTTAAGAATATTCATAATACTAAATCACATTAACAAATTTAGTACTATACATAAAAAAACCATTATTTTTCAAAAAGGAAAAAAGAAGATTATATACGCATATAGTAACTATTATAAATTACAGCATTCTTTTTTAATTTGTATTTATTTAAGACATTTTAAACAGAACAATAAGTTTTGATAACAACTGTTGAACTAATTCATATAATATTACGCCTATACTTTTGAAAGAATTATATAATTTAATATAGACATGAACTTTTACACAATTAACTTAGGAACCCATAACCTCCTGATAAAACTTGAACAGTTCACCCAAATCTATACAGCAACTACTAGGAACGTACACCAAAAAAAATTTCGGGGGGAGGGGGAGGGTTCGTAAACAAATTGTCACCGACCAGTTATTATAGTTATCGATGATTGATATAAATAAATTATACAACTATTAATTTTCGGGGGGGCTGTATACGTGCCTGGCAACTAGATCTTTAAATACGACATTATAATATTATATGAATATCAAAAAAACATACACATTTCAGATATACTCAGATTAATGAAGCTATCAAAATTGTAAAGTTGTATCAGAATTGTACAAATATAATGATTAGGGCAGAGGACTTGTAGCTCTAAAAATCATCAAATATGCACTAAAATGTACAAAATATGCATTAAAAATAAACGTTTATTTGTATGAATATATTTCATTTAAATTTTGATGTCTTCGACCGACGTCCCCGTGGACAGTATTGATAATATCTTATGCAGTGAACAGTATCTGTATATAAATAAAACGAATAATCGGAAAATAAATCTAATCGGACATCTTCGAGACGGGTCTCTAGGAAAAACATGCGTGTGGGATCAGTCAACAACCATATATTAATAAGATCAAAATTTAAAATAATTTTAAATTCAACATTATTTTGGTTGTATATTAAATATTTAAATCAAACAAAAATGTAGACGGTAAAAATATTGATAAAATGATAAATTATTGAAAATATGCATCTTAACGTATAGAAATGAAGAAATATGCACTAAAACCAAAAAAAACTCGAAATATGCATTTATATGCAAAATAAAATTTCAAAACTAGTTTTGTTTCAGCATGTAACGTATATTTGTTTCTGACTCTGCTATTTTTGTGATCATACGAAACAAATATGCAAATACTACAAGTCCGCTGCCCTATTAATGATAGTGTTTTAGTTGTCGGTATTTAATAGCGATGTAATTTTGAAAATAATAATAATATAATGAATAAGAAATATTAAATCACAACACAATAATTATGTATTTAATTAGTTATTACACTTATTCATTTTTAAATTCATTCTTTCAGCATTTGATATTCTAACTATAATATATTGTTGACATATATTGTGTACTGGCTGTAGTCTGTCAGTAGTGACTACTCAGTAATCCTAAGTGATTTGCATAACAGAAGGGAAAAGTTTTTGTTTTTTTACTCAATTAAGTATTACTTTATTTACTTGATTGGGTTATTTTTCGGACTCAATTAGGTTATTTTCGGATCGAATTATATGTAAATTTGTGTTTACGGGACTCAACTGTAATAATATGAACATATAGCGAGGAACATTGCATGTAAAACACTAATTCTACGTGAATACCACACTGAATACCACACTATTATTATTACCTGTAATCAATAAGACTAATTTATGCTTTCGTCATTTTATATATACCTGCAGCTGTTCAAAATGAACGTCAACCAAGAAACACGGCAACCATACGTCCGGAAAATCTAGCTGACATGGACCACGAACGAGTGATTCGAGAAGCGGCTGTTGCAGTCGGAGTGTTTGGGTGAGCGAATATATTATTGTTTTTCATACGTTTCGATTCACATATTCTAATAACAATACCTATATAATGACAATATGTTATGTATTGTAACAATAAAATCAACAAAACGAATATTATTGTATATATTATGTGCATGTAAGTACCTATATAGTAACCCGTTGACCTTTATATTATAATATACAATTCAGTAGTATTGTACATCTTACCATCTATTATGAATTATGATGGCAATGGCCGATCGATGATCGATTGAAGTTCACAATATTTCTTCACAGCATGCGACGGCGGTATGATAGAAATTATAAATCAATAAAATATATTTCACAACAATTAACTATAATATGTCCATGTATTATATGGATGGACCTTTGTACTATCGAAAGTGAAATATAATACAATATCATATTATTAGCGATGTATCATAATACATAATATAAAGTCCACGTAAATAATTTTTCAAAATCATTTATCGACGTCGCAAGTGTGAGCGCGTATATATTATATAGGGTTTGAAACATTATAAACACACCCTATTAAATGTTACGTATATATAAATAAATAGGCTATCACGTTCTGCCGTCCACCCCAAATTTTGATTAATGGCTTATAAATCTCCTCCGTCGTTTTCGCGTCTATAAAAAAAAGGGTTCAGGTGTTTAGTCGCATTTTAATTCTTCATTTCGGAGGGTCGGATCTATTTTATACCCTTATGTTTTTTTCCTCTTTTATATACAAAAGTCAGGCCTATCCGCCTCTGCTTTTGTCACGTTTAATTTTTTTTTGTCCCCTGCAAACAATTATACATGAATATGCATTTTTAAATATAATTTAATGTTTGGACAGTAGCCAGTAGGTTTACCCAAGTGCTACATTTTGCGCACAGTATATATTTATTTTAAATAATATATAAAGTGCGTATTAGTACAAGCAGGACATCATATTATGATAATATATATATAGGTATCTATATAGACGTATAGTATATGGTTCCGAAAATATGACACACGACCAGGTTGCCATAATAGTGACAAATGCCACAAAGAAAAAAAAACATTATTTAGTCTTGTTTGTTATGCAAATCGTATTCGAGTAGCACTAAAACATTTCGCTCCCTGGTGCTGATGGACACGGTGTTTGCCAAAAACAAAAGTATTTGCTACCCTATACCTATTTATTCATAATAGTATAGACAGACGTTAGACGCGTCATTTCACAACTGTTTTTATCTCTGTAATTTTTGGTTTTTATTTGTTTTAAGTTTAACCGACTGTCGTGAAAACATACACGATACACCTATTCAATTAACGTAGACACTGCAGTTCGATACGTCGATAACATAGATAATAATATATGCATCCGCGAAGGTTAAAATTGTACGAATTATATTATGCAGATTAGATCATGGCTAATGAACATTGCAACATATTTTGTCATATAATTATAAATTTATCCGGTCGGTTAGTATCTACAACTAAAGTACCCACCTATCCGAGCCCAGTCGGTTTATCGGGCTAGACGTTAACCGTCAAGTCTTATTAGGTACCTGCTTTATTTTCGTGTATTACTTATATTATAACGTATATCTAATACATATAATATTCACATATTTTTGATGAAATATAGTTTTAACTCGTATTTAATATTACCTATATTTTTAAATGATCAAACGAAGTACCATTAGTTCTAATACAATGTTTCCGTGATCAACATAATAGATCAGTAGGACGCATGGTTTCAAAAAATATCAAATAAAGTATAGTATAATAAGTATAGTCCCTATATATACATAAAAAATAAAAATTCACATCACTTGTAATTTATATAAGCTAAACGTATATAATAAATCGTTAAATGTGCAATCACTTTAATATTATGCTAAATTATGTATTGGAAAAATAGTTAAATTTAACTGCTTCAATATTCACCATATGGGTAAGTATCGTTTCATGACTAATACTTTAAGATGTATGTGTAATACATTATAATGTTATGAATAATATAAAGTACATTTGTTTAAATAATTCAAGTTTTTTCTTCAAATAACCAATATAGTATAAGTCATAATACAAAATCTTATTTTACCCTTATTATTATAATATATATTATAAAACCAAAAGTATTTATAATATAATGTTAGATGATATTTATTTACAATTTCGATTATACGATGTTTTCTATGGATTAAATGAACTATAAATGTTAGAATAAAGGTTAAAGAGCATAATATAATAGGTACATACTTAGGTACCCACAACCAACTACTCAAAGTATATTCACATAAAATTTGCAATCGACATAGGAATGTAACAACCATAACAATGATATGCGGGAAGTACCTAGTATAGAACCTTACAACATTTATTTTAAATTTACAATAACACGTATTTTATTATTGTACGTATAGGGGTTGACGTTGAGTGAAACAGTTTGGCCAACTCGCATGTGATGTGTAACCAATATCAATACGGCTACACGAGTTTAAGGAATAAGAATAGATATCAATTTATATGGGATTAGCTGTACAATAAAACGATTTAATCCCACCACCGAATTACAAATTAAATGATGTCGGTCCCTAGCCGATTCCCTTCGTATATACCGGCCATATGGGTACTTTTTAATGCTTTTTTCAACGTCATTCTCCGCACCAGAACTTAGGGATTAACCGTCAAAGGCACTTGTGGGCAATGGCCCTAAAATAATTCACGTGGGGGACAATATCATTTGACTAATGTTAATTTGATGGGTAGATTTTGTATGTTATTATATTTAGTTATTATTATACGCACCTACCTACCAAATCTGAAATACTGTGAAACTGGGGTCGTATTATATTTTATACATATATTATAACCGCAAATGGGATTTATTTCGAATAGTAATTCAACTAGATTATATTATATGCTATTATTTGATTAAAATATTAAATTCAATCAAATTGTACATGAAATATAATCATTACGTAATTGATAATATATTTTTTGTAAAAACTAACAGATTTTATGTTTATTATTTTAGTATAAATATTTAATTTACTATTATTGATCACTCCAGACTCAATAGTCAATAGTTATTTACACCAAAATCACATTACGAATTACGATCACATTACATTTTTTGATAGATACATTTTAAGTCATGTCATATTACGAGTATATAGGTTGATTATGTGTAATGGAATAATGAATACATCAAATTTAAGCCATAAATATTTATTTCACAATTACTTAACACTCTTAACCTTTACATTTTCATGTAGAACATAATAAAATATAATATATTATGTAGATTTATACGAATAGATAAGATAATTTAGTGTTTTAGTATTTATTTGTTTGCAAATCTTATTTAAGTTATTAAGTTAAATAAATCAATATACTTGACAATAATCAATAGTTTCCAAAATCGTTTCGTACCTATATTAGTAGCTATAGTAATATTTTATTTCAATCGGCGAATCCCTCTAAAATTATAGACTACTATTTATTATCATAAAATTATTTATAACATGAACAATTCTCAACAGGCCATGTCTTTACAGACCCCCGGTTTCAGTGGCGTTAGCCTTATCTCCTCTGAGGTATCATCCCAACGGACCCATGGCACCGCCGAGCATACAGCAACGGCCCACGGAACCGTCGCCGACTGCATCTTCGTCACCGAAACAAGAATCTCACCACGACGACCAAGACGATGGTAAGAACTAAGAGTATAACTATTAACTACCATAGGTACAAGTGGTTTGTCGGTCAGAAATTGCCCACAAATACAATATTATTTAAATAAATAATGTGAGAAATGACTAATGGCTCGTTCTAAACGAAAGGTTTTATTCAGCTTTAAAAATGCTAAAAACTAACACTGCAGTTGTCGAATTAGGTGTCGTGCACGATATGTCGATATCCATTAATCAAACGACTCAAATATGGGTGATCAGTAGATTAATAGTAAGTAAATATAGACCCGGGTACATTGACATTCATTTGGGTAAATACATCAAAGTGGCTTAGTTGCTTAGTATCGCCGACTGCCGAGCGCTTATGAATATTTTTAGAAACTGTTTCCTAATTTGTAATCTGTATTACGTACTTTCTTCGTCGTGTGACAGATTTTGAAGTCACTAATCATTATTATCAAAATGGACAAAATAATATATATACTCACATGGCCATCTGGCCTTATACTGGATTTTGGCGCCACCGTGCAATTTGTTTTTTATTGTTTATTTGATAAATCCATGAAGATGTCGATAGTCCAGAATCCAGAATTTTACAATTCACATTTTTGACACAAAACATTATACTATACAAAAGTGTAGTGTAACAAGGCTGTATAAAAAATTGAGACTCAAGGACATAACCTCATCCCCTCTAAAAATACTGGCATACGGCACAGTACACTGAAATGATTAAGAGTATGTACAATGTACATAGTACCTACTACCTAGTATTATGCGGTGTTTGTCAATTGCGCCGATTTTTCTAGACTACCTGAAATTTATACATCTTTTGCGCCGGTGGATTTATCCCAAACGAAAATGGTATACGTCTTTTGCGCCAATAAATTTATCACAAATTAATTTGGTATACATAATATATATTTGTTCTGCCAGGAACATATTATAAAATATAAAATATCAATATAAAATATCATATTATTATACTATTATTAGATTATAATATAATTATCAAACATATAAAAAAAAGTGTAATTTAAAAAATATAAAAAATTTAAAAAATTAAAATACATATAAATAAACGATGATAAATTACATATGAATAAATTGTCAAAAAGTATTAAAATTTCATTTCTTGTAATGGTGACTTACCGACTTCACAAATTGAAACATATTGATAGTACCGTCATATTATCATGTTATCTCATTTATATTAGCGGATATTCCGATTTGACCAATTTATTGCATGTAGATAGATAACGTATAGTATGTACAGTTTAAAACGTCGCGATTTTAAATCGTCCGCGTGTAATATAAACGCAGACGAGTACGTTAAAATCGCCTAGTGTGTAATCAGCTTATTTTTCAACTTCAGTATTGCCGGCGCAATTAATGTATAATCTTTTTTGGACCTAAATATCGTCCGGCGCAGTTGATGTATAACCTTTTTGAATCCCATAATTTTTTTTTCCTTACCTGTGATTTCTGGCGCAATTGACATATACCCGTTTTATGCAGGGTACGTCAATATACATTTAAATATCTGTATTAGAAAATTGGGGGACTTGAAAAACTTTAATATCTAGGGTAGGCTACTAGGGTCCTACTCCTGGCTCCTGCCATGCTGGGCTCTTGAACAAAACCATCTAAAGACTCTATTCGTGTTATATGTGTTGCAGACGACAGTATAGACGTGACCAATGAAGAACCGGATACGTCTGACAACAACAAAAGGGCCTCGTCTTCGCCACCGGCAGTTCCGATTCCGCTTACCCAACACCATTCGATGTACGACCATCATCCGTCATTCTACCCCGGTCTACATGAGAACGTTTACGAGACTTCCGCTCGTCTGCTTTTCATGGCCGTCAAGTGGGCGAAAAACTTGCCGTCTTTTGCGTCTCTTCCGTTCAGAGACCAGGTGAGGATTTTGTGTAATATCAATAATAATATACCTATAAAATGTAAATGCCATCAAAAGAACTCAAAGTTTGAAAATCAATTAATATTGGGTATTAAGGTTCAATTACATAAAAAAACAAAAAAAAATGCCTACTATAATAAATTCTAAAACTTCGAATTCTATACAACGTACGATTTAAGGACAAAATGGTGGGTGAGCATTAAGCTGCAGCATTACGTACTCGTAGGTAAATCATCCTGTTCACAATACGTATTGGCGAATGTATTATAAATCGATCCTGCTTTTTTCATCAATATATATGATATATTATATGATAGATGATAAAAAATTACTATATTCTATAGGTTAGAATGCGATACCATTATATACATTATAATTTATAGTTATGGCTACCTACATGGGCGAATGTAAGTTCCTACACGAGAGTAGCAGGCACACAAAATACATACGTTAGTTCCTACACGACGAAAAAAGGTACATAATATGTAAGTTCCTACACGGTGAAAACCAGTTACGTGTGTTAGTTACCGCGAAAAGGGTTAAATATGTATATACGAATTTAAAAAAAAAAACAAATATATTATGATGATTAAAAAATATAAAAAAAAATCATCATAGTAAATTTTCACAAATAAATATTGTATAATATGGTGTTTAAAAAATATAATAAAAATCGTTTTTTCCCGTAATTTTGTATACGTTTTGCTTTAAATGAAGTATATTAAATTAATGTATATTAGTAAGCTACGGCTGGACATATTATTACTAAAACGATACGTCTGTGTATAATATACATATTTAACCCTTTCCGCAGTGTAGGAACTAACATACGCACCTGGTTTTTACCGAGTAGGAACTTACATAAGTACCTTCTTCCGCCGTGTAGGAACTAACATACGCACCTGTTTTTTACCGTGTAGAAACTTACATATGTCTGTGTAGGAACTAACGTATGTAATTGTTTACCTGCTACTCTCGTGTAGGAACTTACTATTCCCCACCTACATAATATTATTATTATTGTTTAAATTATTTTATGCGATGGTTCAAAAACGTTTTATTCTTTTATTTCTATATTACCTATATATATTATAGGTGATACTCTTAGAGGAATGTTGGTCGGAATTGTTCCTGTTGAACGCGGTTCAGTGGTGTTTGCCACTGGAAAACAACCCACTTTTTAATCCTTCAGATCACGTGGCGGCCATACCCAACGGAAAAGCCAGCCAAGTGGCGGCCGACATACGCGTACTCAACGAAACCCTGCGCCGGTTCAGGACCATCAGTGTCGACCCGGCAGAGTTCGCGTGCATGAAGGCCATCGTTTTGTTTAGAGCCGGTAACGATCACATTTTTAAAATGTTTGCTATTATAATATTAAGCATACTAGTAAGTAGTAACAGTCTACATATAACTCATGAACACCACTATGATATTATAGGTATTCTCTTTACAAACATATACCAAACATATTTTCCCACAACTTTATTATTACGCTAACAAAACTTAAACTTTTTAAGAGTATATGCAGCCGTGCAGGTAGGTACCTACAACGTTGAACGTCTACACGATACCTATCTCGTGTGTAAACAGGAAACGAAATTATCGTGCGGGAGGGATCAACAGATTTTTACACTTGAAAAATATTATACAATCTAAAGCTCGTAGACCGGACTACAACCGTTGTGTTACAAATGTTTTGTGTGACACCGGCGTCTGAATCTCTCAAAAATTGAGTGACACATGAATAAATAAGTGGTTTTGGGGTACCTATGGCAATACATTTTATCGTGATGTACCTATTTATTATATTACAGTAGGTTTAAAATTTAATTCGACAAATATTTTAATTAGGTGTTTACCTAAAAATCCCACATTCACAAACTGCAAAATAGTCTCTCTGGACAAATATGTAAATTCCGCTCACATACATAGAACGATTATCATTGCGTCTATAAGTGAGTTGTGCGTAGGTACGGAACAAACTGAACACTGACGTCTGAAACATCCTACAGGCTACAGCAGTGTAATATAATAATATGTGACATACCTATGAGTGGCTACGACATAAATACATGATATATAATAATAAAAACTATAAGAATTATGTCAATTATGATGATCAATCGTCTGTGATCGTTTTAGACACACGGGGATTGAAGGACCCAATACAAGTTGAGAACCTGCAGGATCAGGCTCACGTCATGCTCGGTCAACACACCAGGAATCAGCACCCGGGCCAGCCTGTCCGGTTCGGCAGACTGCTTCTCATGTTGCCGCTGCTGAAAAACGTGCCAGCCGCCCGGATCGAAGCCATATTTTTTCAACGAACCATCGGCAACATACCGATGGAAAAAGTCTTGTGCGACATGTACAAGAACTAACAACGTCGCCGGTCAACGGATAATAAAATTGATAACCCAACACACAACTCATGATAACATCATGATGAATAATGCAATAGGCTCTACCTTGTGGCTTGTACAGTTGTCTAGACGATATACACACTTGATTGGTACTTTGCGGGTGGAATATAGTTTGTTCATCACTCGGCACTCATTGTATTATGCCATACCATCCAAACCAATTCACAAGAATATTATAACGTACTTACCTAAAAAAAACATAATAATACTCATATCTATTAAAAACGTGTTTGGATTTAAAAACAAATTAATTTTTCTATTATTAAAAAAAAACTTAATGTGACTGCTTTGAATTTCAGTGATAATTTCCACTTAACCATTGATTTCGTGATATAATATGATAATGATACCTACCTATATATATTGTTGTAGGTATGAGGTAATTAAGTGGCATACCCAGGGAGGCTGCAACAGCCCCAGCTATTTCAAAAAAATTTCAAAATCCTTTCATTGTTCTGTGAAAGTATTAGGTAATTACATGAGACGCAACTCATGTATAAAAAAATTATAATTTGTAAGAAGGTTGCTGCTGGTAAGTCTACAACGGTATACATCACAGCGGTTCTTTTTGTATCCAAGCTATACGGAACAAATTTTCAAACTGTTCGCTTACGAGTAGTAAACGGTGTCAGATCTATGATATGATTTTCAAAAAAATGTTTTGGTACCCAAGTTATTATTTGTAACTACCTATTTCAAGTTTAGGAGCTACAAGTACAACTAACCTAAATAAAAACTAAATAATTGTGAAAAAAAAAATGTTTTCCTCAAAAAGTAAAATTAAATAATTATTTAGTTATTTTTTATGTAAAAATGTTTTATTTTTATTATTAGGTATGGTTTATATACCTATACTTCAATGGGAAAGTTGGTGGATCTCGATATCGCCATCCATTTTGGTATCCTATTCAGTCTCGAATCATTCTAGTGATAACCGTACGCATGTTTATTCACTTAATGCATACCTAATGTTAAGTGTTAAAATTAAATTTTTCTGGACAAAAAAATTATTTATAATTATGTCTGTTATCTAATTATAAATAATTTATTTCGCGAAAATTACATTGCGTACCACCTGTGACCTGTTAAGGACCGCTGGCATACCTAACTTGTGAGTTGTGACGGATTCTAGTTAAGCTTCCGCTGTGTACAAAAAATTATCCTCCCATCACTAACGCAAATTCCTAACTTTACCACTGCAAGGTATAATTATAATATGACAGTATGATACCTACCATTTACCAACGAGAACGTGACTCTTACAATTTTTATTTTGTCTGTATCTGTCATGTAATATTAATATATTATTATAGCCTATGGGTAGTTATTATAAGTAGGTGCGTATTTTACATGCACATATCGAAGGATTTCATTATTAGCGATATAATAGGGTATAAAATAGATGGCAAAATTTGCTATACATAAATCAAATCTGTAGCTAATCAACAAATCGAGTCTGTTTAGATCATTCAGTAAAAACATCAACTACTTGACCCGTATTATTATTATACCTGTTATAGACTGGTATTATTGCACTAATGCACTATGATGCAGTATTATTAGTTAATGCTTTAATGGTTATTAAAAATACCTTTTAACTACAATTTCCAATTTTCCTACAATATTCACTAAAGAGTATACACCCTTTTTAATAGGGTATTAGGTATCTAAAGAGTTGTGTACAATTATAATGTCATAATAATTATGGATATATTTAATTCTAATAGCAGTTTCTTTGCTGGAAATTTAATGTCCTAAAAAGCCTAAACAAATTTTAAATAAAAAAAGCCATACAGGACTGCACGATTTCAAGCCTTCTATGTGTTTTAATTTAAAAAAAAAGAATTACTTCTCTACCGATACTCGCGTTCGAAAAATTTCGATTAATATTCGGTTTAATTAACAGGCTTGTTAGGAAGTTATTAAATTACTTTTTAAAATAAAAATAGAAAAATAAAATTCTGGATTTTGATATTAAATTTCTAAAAATGACTTAAAAATTGAAAACTGCCATTAAATAAAAAATAAAAAAAGGTCTTATTCTGCTTCAAAAATACATGAAACATAAAACATTTACTATGGGTAAGACGAGTATCGTAAAAAAGCATCACACAACTAGCATTGAAAACAATGCAAAGTGTATCAAAATTTCAACCCTAATTATAAACTTATAAAATAGTTATAAATGTGCAACATAAACTAAACTTACTATTATCTACTTGTTTAACCAGTAATTACAATTATAAGTTTACTAGTTTGATTTTTCTTAACTCACAGTCACAGACTTCTATAGCTACTAAGTATCTATACCTTTTTTTATATAATCCCATGGCCTAACTGTGTAGAATGTAAATATAATTGTATTCTAATAGAGTATACTCTGTATACTAATATAATAGAAGTCTGTGTTTAAACTCTTAATTAATTATTTCTTGAATCATAATATAGTAAATAATTATTATATTATTATAATGTTTAACTCACTTTATTCATTTTGTGTTGTTGTAAGTATAATAACATTTTTGTTTACTGACAGTTTTCAATTCAGCTATGAGAAAAATTTTACAATTTGTTTAGTATGCCTTTATCTACATATGTATTAATTTTAAAATATTATAAAATCAATAACATTAGTATATTACCTATAATATTATTATTAAGCTTTGTTGTTGTTGTTATTGTTGTTGCTGTTGCCATTGCTATATTAAGTGTATTTAATTATTTTATGCTTGAAATAATTGAAATACCATATTTTTAATGTTAACCTTTTAATTATTTTTGTCTTTTCTTCAAAAATAAAATAATATGATAAATTATATATAATGTACAATTTTATAGATAATAATATTAAATATTTTGAGGTTTTGCTTTTAATGATAAAAATGTAATTTAATATTGTGTAAAAGGACATGCATAATATAAATAGAAATGTACAGTATTAACTATTCGATATAAACTATCTATTTGAACCACAAATTCAGATGTTTTTTTTTTATTGTGTTATATATTTATACTACAAAAGCTGAATTTAATTATATTGATAAATGGTTTGCATTTTGTGTCTTTTATTCAAAAATTAAAATAATTTTCAGATTATAGTTTATTTACAATGTTACATATTATTACATTTCAGATAGGTACTTGAATTGATTAATGAATATCCAATTTTTGTTTTTTTGGTAAAGAACCAAAAGCTGAAATAATCGTTCCCTTTGTACCTGTTACAGATGTTGTAAGATCCCATTTACTTTTCTTATCATCTTGTTTATGGGAACTTGAAACATTGATTGATGAAGTCTTTTTTGTACCAGACACAACTTCAACCTTTAATTGAAATCAGTAACATATTAAAAATTATCTTAATTTAACCAACACACAGAACTTACTTTAGTTTTTTCCTTTCTTTCTTTCTGTCTCTTTTCCATATCTTCTTTTTGCAAGCAGCCTAATTCTTCATAGTAAGATTCTTTACCCCATCTTAAGGGGTCATATAAATGAGGTGGATAATTTGTGCCCAATTCATTAATATTACAAAACTGTAAAAGTTTTTCGTATATGCTAGGGTTTCGAAAGTCTTTCCTTTTTTGGATCAAAAAATTCATGTCCATACCATCTTTTTCCATTTTTTCATGCAATCTAGTTATCTTTTCTTGTAGTTCTTTAGAGCATCTACCATGAGGTTCGGGTGGAAAAATATCTTCTTCGTCTACATCCGAACTTCGGTCCATATCTTCATCTGACATCACAATATCGTGATCCTCAAAATATGATACAAGATGAGTTTTTTTGTCATCGTCCGGATTAGTTACAGCTGGAGCTGAATTCGGTATTTGTAGTTGAGGACTAGGTACATGTTCTTGTAAAGGTTCATTTGAAATGGACACTTCTTCAATATGTCTACGTTGACTGGGAGTAGTACCTTCATCTTCAGAGTCTGTATAATTAGCAGTTAATGATGCAAGAGCCGACATTCTTTTAATAATTGAATTCTAACTATAAACAAAATATTACAAAATTAAAATTGCATTGTTGTAATAACTAAATAACTTAGTATTAAACTGGTCTAATTGTTCAATAAAAACTGATCAGATGGTAGAGGTGAATGTCCTAGGAAGGAGGATCAACCACCCGAATGGTATTTTATTCAATATCATTAGTTAAATTACAAAGCCTAATATTTACATATTTAGCATTTTTCAGGTGTGCTAAAATAAATTATTCAGATACATTCTACAGTACATGTAATCACACACACAAAAAATATACATTCGGTTCAATTCATGAACTAAAAGACAAGACATTGACATATCTATCTAGTAGATACCTCATAAAAGTAGTTAGAACTTTGTTTTGTGTATTAGCTAATTAAAATTATTGTAATGAATGTATTAGTGTATTACACACACTGTTAATATTGTAGAGTTACTTCAATATTTAAAATGATTTCCCTTATTTATCAAACAGTATTGAAATATGTAAAAGTAAAAAACAGTAATGAAATATGTTTATAAGAACTATGTTATTATTTAAAAATGTTTATTTGTAGTCAAATTCTGAAATTTCAAACAATATTGTTATTTACACATTTGTGTAACAAACTGTAGTATTAAATCTAAAAGTTATCACTTATCAGTGACATATTTAGCACTTAAAGAATAAATATAATAACAACTACAGTATACTGTATACATGCTATAACCCATGACTAAAAAAATGGGTATGTTCACAACTTTGTGATACACATATCCCCCCTCCACCTTGCCTTGTCAATTGCATGGTTCTACACTTCTATTATATTCTATTAACATAGCCGACTTATGAAATGTGGAGAACTTTAAACGATGGTTTTGTGTATATAAATACAAAATAATGAAGAGATGCGCAAAGCTGGACAGAAACTGGAAACTGGTTTTTGTGATCATACCTATTTATTTAGTCATAGAACCCTCAATTCTCTTCCACTAATTAATATCCTACTATATACTAGAAAGTCACAAAATAAATAATTTTTTTTAAACATAAGCAGAAAACTAAGATTAAGTAATTTGTGACTACATATTTTTATTTTGGACATTGAAATTGAGATAAACCACAAATTACTCAGAAGAGTCAATACTAGAGCATAGAAAAAAATAAACATTGTATACAAATAAACAATATGTCATAAACACAACTATCGATAACACAGTATGGTCATAACATAGAACCTCAAAAATAGTAAAATGCAAATCAAATATTCAATCTTAAGGTGGATTCACACTTTGTTGTGTCATGTAGAGTTGAATATATATTAAAATAGTAAGTAACGTGCGACCAACATTTTGTTATCTATGTATTAAGTATATGGAACACTACAAGACACTGCGAGTTGTGGATCTACCTTTAGACTGACAAGAGTTATCATGATAGGATCCAATATTGAAAAACATTAATTAGGTTTGAAAACAAAGTCAAAAAAACAGGAGGCTTTTTTGTATTAATAATTTACTGGGCACATCGCAAAAAAAACAAAAAAAAACATTTGATACATTTTGATTTAGATGTACCTATGAAATTTTTGATTTTCCATTGAGCCACATTATTTTTGTAGATAATGCATTTGAATGAAAGACATAACGTAAACGTATCCATTTTATAATATAGGTATGTTAAATTTACCTGTTGAAAGCTGAAGTATCTAGAGCTTTGAAGTAGAGTAGGTATTGTTGTTTTCTGAGATTATTTAGTTGTTTATTATTCACTCAGTACCTTAAGTTATTCTAAGGTACCTTCTCACTAGTCAGAACTCAGAATACATTCGGATACTTTTCATAATTTTATTTCATTATCACTTATCAGTATTATAGATAATAGTGAAGATGAAGAATGAACAGTGATTAATAACAATTCAATTATAATCATGAACTAATTTACTTATTATCATTGTTATTATACAGCGTTCTCTAGGTGTTTAACCTATTGATTTCAATAATTAACAACATTGATCATACTCAGACTGATAAACAGAAATAATATAATATAATAGAAATTATAAATATATTATAGGTATATACTATTTTAATGTTTTAATAATGTAATAAAATAATATCATAGAACACCTTATACATTATGTGGATCTAGGACAATCGGTCCCCGGAAAATTGGTCCCCGCGAAAAAATGCGACATGCGGACAATTGGTCCCCGTCATAATTTCATACACGGACAATTGGTCCCCGGCTTAAAAGTTAAACACAAAATAACTTTTTAACATAAAACATTCTCATATAATATAATTCAAATTCTCGTGACACTGAACAAAGTAAAAATAATTAAAAAGTTAAATAAAATTAATAATAAAATTTATTTTATAATTAAATATAATATTTATTTTAATAAAATTTTTTAAAACTGATTTTCAATAATATAATAGGTACGCTTAGTGAATAAAATATAATATACGTAATATGGTCAAATAAAAAAATAAAAATGTATATAATACCTTGTGAGAATAAAGCCTTGATAGCGTTCATCGATATTTTACAGCAAGACTTAAGGAATACAAATAATTCAAAAGTTCATCTTTAGAAAAGTTGATGTTAAAACTGTTACAAATAGATATAATTTTTTTTTCCCTATCACTTAATGGATTTAAAAAAATATTCAAAAATACATTTTCATCGTTTTTTGTCAAAGATATCATCGTTGTAGAATTAACTAGTTGTATACATTCAATAAACATATAAATACTTGGATGTTTAAGCCTGACGATATTTTGGAATTTATTTTATTATGGCTGGTTTTAAAATATTCTATTGAGCACTCCATAGGTACGAACTAGACGTATGTATACAAACTAGACGGATGCGTACGAATTAGACTACGGATGTACAGGCGACAAGACGGTGTACGGTGTACAGCGATAACTGATGAAGGTAAATCGATCGGTCAGCAATAAAAGATTATTATTTATCAAGGGAAATATTTTATTACAGTTTGCTAAAAATAGTTAGTACCTACTGGAATTTAGTTAGTACTAGTAAGAACAACCTAAGAAAGCCATTTTTCCTGTAAATTCTTATATATACAATATATACACAACAGGAATTTTTCGGGGAGGGGGGGGTCAAAAATATGTATATTGTAATTTTATTTTGTTTCCCCCCTCACATACGGCCTTGGTTAATAATAATAAAAATAAAATATTGAATAACATAAAATATTACCGGGGACCAATTGTCCGCATGCCGCATGTTTTCGCGGGGACCGATTGTCCGTTTACCACATTATGTAATATGGGTCATGGGACAACAAAAAACGCACGATTATTCTGCCACCAGGAAGCGCGTCGTTCGATAAGAGGCCTGTGTGTTATTGTTCTGTGGTTTTACTCATGTGCTATGATCAAATGACAAATACTATATTTTACGTTTATACTAGGTAGTAGGTGGATATTATATTTACCTTGATTTTAAGGTATTTTCCACGATGTAGAGAAGATATTATATAGAGATCTTCTCTATATTGTGCCATAGACCAATAAAGAATCGAAATAAAAATCCCCAGACTACAACCTTTCTCATAAACACATGCAAATTATTGAACAAATATTTTTTTAAACGCTAGTTACCATCATTATTAATATTTAATAACAATAGGTATTAGGTATATAATTTATACATATACACAAATAATATATTGTTTTTTTACCGCGATGTAATGATATATATAATTCTGTAAAATTAAATCTGTAATATATAATATTATAATAATATATTATAATTATGATAATATTATAATTTACGATAATACGATATGAGAATTATTAAAAAGTTCAAGTTGTGTCATATGTGTACCTATGATAATCTAAAATATAATATATTTATTTGTATTATATTTGAAGTGTATGGATCATTCGAAATATTTGTATATGTTCTAAAACCGTGAGTAGGTATCAACCTTTATTATTATCGTTTATGCAATTTAACATGGCTACATTTATTAACTGTAGTTTGATAACTATTTTCGTTTTTATTATATAATCTTTTAGGTAGGTAGATTTCTATATAAAACAGTGGAATCTACATAAAGTAAAACTTTGAAAACTCGTTATAAGCTGTTGACAGACATTTTCAATTTTCATTTTTTTTCTATAAATGTCAATATAAATTTATTAGTTGCGTCAAAAAGCATGAAAATGTAATTCAAGGATCTTGGTAACTTGTTACAATAGCAGTTGAAAAATATTTAAAAAACATAGCCACAATTTTACTTTATAAGCATTTAAAGTTCAAATTTTGATAATATTTATCAAATTTAAAATGATGTAATAAAAAATGTATAACATTTTTATTTTTTATAGCTAAAAATTGAAAATTTAAAGAAGGTTCCACTTAAGCAGTTTTTCTGTAACTAAAAAATCTAAGAAATTTATAAATACGGTTATTTTTTACAAACATTTTAAGTTAAAATTTGGACAAAATTGCATATTAACACAAAGACTAACGTTTATCATTTAGTTGTAATTCAGTTCTAAAACAGCCCAATTTTACATATGTATACCTAATATTTTTTTTCAGCATCACTGATAAATTAGGAATAATATTAATTCAACTTACTAGCTACCATATCAATAAAAAGTAATAACAGTATAAAATATCCTAGACTGACATACCATCTCTGCTCAGAATCGTTTTTCGTGTACAATGGTCAATTACATGATATCATTGAATTCATATTTGATACCATCCATAGGTCTCTGAATATAAACATTTAACAGTGTAACAACCTTTGTAACTTTAAAAAAACAATTTCAAAATTGTTATAAAGTTCGATATAGTTCCTAAAGTACTTATTAAGCAAATTAATCGTTAAAAGTATAATATTGTTAATATGTAAATCATGTTTGTCATTGTCTCACTGTTATTCTCTTCCCTCAAATAACTTTAATTCCAATTTTAATTACATGTTTAATCGTAGGTACTCCTCATCTCCAACACAAGTGACTAGCATATACATATATAAATTCCTTTTTAACTGTAGAATGTAGATAGCCAATGTTTATTTTGTTCACAATAAACAATAATGAAATATACTCTTATGAATGAACAATTAAATTTATAGGACATGCCAAAATATGATAAGTAATTTGTTATGCTTCATAATTGGTTTACTCATTAACTTACTTCATTAAATACAAAAATTTACACTTATTATTAAAAATATATTATATTATTTATTATCAATGTAAAAAAAATACAAATTGGTTTGATTATTGATTATGTTTTAAAATAAAAATATAAATAAGTAGACAATTTACCTGAAGCAAAAAATAATTTGACATTATAATTACAACTATATTATAGTGTGACTTGGCGGTAAGTACCACCATGAACATCATTGAAGTAATTGATAAGAGTATTAATAATATTCATCTGAACATCAGAATTACTACCAAACCTTCCTAAAAGATCTGCTAGTTGTAGACTTTGATTTTCTGTTTGATTCAGTACAACAGAAACTGTATTTTGAATTGTTCTAATCAGTAAATTAAACAGGTCCAGAAGATGATCTGTACTTAACTCTCGTAACATATTTCCTACATTTCTAATTCTGGGCAGCAACATATTGTTAATCTGGTATCCAATACTTCCTCCTGAAATAATATATATTGATAAAACAATATACAGAGTAATTGACCAAACATGCTCACTTCAATTTTTAATTTAATATTTTATTTATTCAAATTATGATCATTAGAATTTTTTTATATAGTTAGGACCAGAATATTTTCAAATTCATGGGATTTTTGTATTTTAGTTAGTTTAAAAAATGTATCATAGTGGATAATGATAGTAATAGTAGAAATAATTGTAATAATATATTATAAGGTGTATCTCATGCACTATCTATCTTCTTGATCTTGTCAGACCGATTAATATTTTAAAATGTGTGTTTAAATTGTAATCTATTAAGCAATTCCTATTCAAAAAATAAAATTAAGACATTTTTTTCATGAGAATTAAGTCTTGTAATAGTTATGCTATTGATTTGATTTTGCCAAAAATTGTTTGAAATTAAATACTAAAATCAACTAAAAACTGAATTGATTTTTAATAATATTAGGTGTGTTAACTTTGATTTCAAAAAAGAAATGCAATATGTCACAGTTGTCAATATACAGGTACCCATATTTAATATATTTTACACGTATTCACATTATCACGTTATTAGAACTACAAATCCTACAACTTTAATATAGTATTTGATGTTACATATTTTTATTACTCACCAACTACAATTCCTAACCTTCCGGCAACTAAACCTCCAAATAAACTACATGCACCGACAATAGACCCAGCTATCAAAGCACTTGGTACCTCTGATAACTCAAAATTCAAGTCACCAACAAGTCTCGTCAATACTTCTAGGCCAGCATTTACAAGTGAAATTGACATATGTTCAGCCATCGTAATGGATTTAACGTATCTATTACAAACAAATTAACAAGTTTATAACATTATTTGAATGTGTCGTAATGAAACTTCATATCACCTTTAATAGGTCTAATAAGTCTTAATAGGTAAGTCAAATTCATAAATTAGAATATTAAAATTACTTAAGGTCAAATTACTCTAGTACAAAAAAACTTAGATAATGCACGAGCAGTAAGCTTCTATATCATGACAAATTTTTTCAGACATATTTAAATAAAACGTATGTCGGCTAATGTGAATCGTGATACGCATATCCTCGGGAACTGAGAAAGTGAGAAGTAATCCGTAATCCCACTTTTTACCGTGTGTTACATTCTCCGCCACTCATTGGTCGTATATATATCATACCATACATTTCTGAGCACGGCTATCTAAAGGTTAGGTTAGGATATCTAAAGCCCTGATTATGAGTTTCGGGGTACGGCGGCGCCAGAGATTTAAAATATCTATTATTATTAATATTATTTTAATTATTTAAAATCTCTGGGCGGCGCGAGACTTCCGATAACAATAACGATTTACGATAATGTGAACGGTTAAAATAACCTTAACTGTATCACTACATTTGTCATTTTTATGCAATTATTATTTTTACTACCAACTCTATAAAATTTTAATTGTGGTGGTATAAAAAAACATTCCAAAAGTTATACATCTTTGAATCTTTCACATTCTTCATAAATTCGGTGTATCTTTATTTCAAATTAATTTTCAGTTAAGACAATTTCCATTCCTTGGGTTAAACAACGAAATATAAAACTCATAAAATGAATGTTATCCACAATGAATAATCAAACATATTTTTGTAGGTTACTCAATACCAATGTATTTGTTTACATAAAGGCTATTACAATACAACCTCGTTAAGACGCTCTCAAAGGGGAAATCGTAAAACCGCGTACTATGAGGGATAGCGTTATGGGCCACATATTAATCATATTATATATATAGTGTACAAGTGCCTGGGACCGGGAAAAGTCTGAGCGGAATGGCGTAAGCGAGAGCTTCTAAACGAGGTTTTACTGTAATTATATTTGAACTACCGATTTAAATTAAAAACTCTTTAAAAGTACAATCATTATTTGTTCACAAGTAAAATATGCATCAATTATAATTTGGAATACCCATCATATCAGTCACCACAATTGATGAAGTTCTTATTTCTTAATCATTCATTCTATTTGTTACAAAATGAATTGCTATAACCACTTATTTGTTTCATTTTATATTTAAATCAATGACGAAATCCAACAAATAATTCAATTATTTTTAGGTAATTGTTTTCTTAATGGTCCATTACTATATGTACCCAATTAAAATAACTAAATCCATTAAGTATGTATTGGAATATAATTATAATTACTGAAATATAACATCAATTATCAAATATTATCCAATGAGGATGGAACAGATAGGATATTATATAACCAATATTGGTCTTTTTTAGTTTCTGATATTTTAGCTTTTATTGATGTCATTAATATTTAACAATAAGTGTAAAGTATTAGGGTTGAATATATATGCTTCATTTTATTTACCTATTACAAATTTAAAACAATAAATCATTTTAAAATTACATTTTGTGAACTGCTGTTGGTTAATCTGAACAAAATATACATTTATGTTAGGAACTAACTACATACATATTACATAATATAAAAAATATTTGATGTCATACATCGGTATAACAAAAACTAAATATGTATTTAAAGCATGATGAATGTAATAAAAAGTTGGCAAGTGGATGTTGTTGCTCTAACAAGCAACAACTTGTAAATAAAACAAGTGGGTCACTATATTAGATGGAGTTAAATTTTAATTCAATGATATAAAAGCATTGTTTACAAAAACGATCACGTGCGAAGACGGTCTGTCAGCCTATAATATTATGTAGTAATTTAGTATATTTGACGATGTTATTGTGATTAAAGTAATTTATTTTGCTATTAATCATTTGTATTACTGTTGGTTAAATTCATTTTTGCCAAAAAAATTACAGTTGAAAAGTCATTGTGTGTTTAAAATATAATAATTTAATCTAAAAGTTAGGTACCCACTAATAATATTTTCACAAGATCATTTTTCAATTTTATATATCTTGTCAAAGTTTGAACTACAAATGCTTGTCAAACAAATCATGTATTTTTTTTAATACTATTCAACTGATATTGTAACAATATATCAGAAACCTTATTATACATTTTCAAGCATTTTGACTCAACAAATAAAATTATGTTGACATTTATACACAAAAAAAATTCAAAATGTCTGTGACTATCTCAAAAGTTTTATCAAGTATATGAATTTATAAGATACACATATGCTATAAATTTCTACAGTTATTCGTTTTTTAATTACAATAATATAAGGAAATCAAGTGAATACCTAATGTTGTAAAAATTTCAATTTCAAATGCTCATAAAAATTTAATATGACTTTCCGGTAGAAATTTTCTTTTGTTATTGAAGGTAGACAAATTTATAAGGAATCTTGTTTTAAATTTTCAAACCTTAGTTATAAAATTAAAAAATTTTTAAGGAATTCTAACTCAAAAGAATTTGCTAATTTTTCATGATTTTTATGAATTTTTTTTAAATTTCTAAATTCAAACGCTTATAAATATTTATTGTAGGTTTACTTTACACTCAACTTTCTTTTTTATTAACACTAACAAATACTTAAGATGAACTCTGTATTATCAAGTTTTTTGATGGAGCAAAATAAAATTGTATTGACATTAGTTTTAAAAATAACTAATAATAAACAAAAATTGCATAGCCTATAATAATATATAAATAGTTCAACACGAGTCAAAATATTTAAAACATTTTATGGTATATAGAAAATGTGGTTATTAACAATCAGTGAAAATTTATCTATGAGTTTTTTGTTCATTCCAGCTCAGAATCAATATATGATCTAAAAGTAAAAACCAAATAAAAATAAGTAATAATAAATTATTAATTTGAATTATTTAAGTAGAAAACAAATTTCTGCCTTACTCTTATTAATACAGACTAAAAAAATATAAATATTATGATCAATTTAAAAACATCCGCTTCCTAGTTATTACTCATACCGGCTAAACTTATTTTATCTAAATTTATAATAATTATTATAGTACTTGCCTATAGGTTCTGTTTTCTTATAGGGTCAAATCGAATGTAGTAGGTATCCACACAATAAACATACATTAACTATCAATCTTTTTTCACATAACTTTAAAAGGATTATGTCTGTGAAAGAGATGGATGCTGTACAAGAGCAATCCCTGAAATCCAATAGATGTAAATCAACAGATTTTAAAAATAGTTTTTACAAGGATGGAGTATTTGAAGTCCTTCAATCATTACGCAAGTATGTTATTGTCTCTAGAAAAATGAATTTTGATTATGAACTTATAAATATTCAATTTTAGGAATGAGAATTTTTGTGATAATAAATTAGAAACAGATGATGGTAAAATAGTATTTGGACATAAACTTATTTTTATATCTGCAAGTCCATATTTCCATGCAATGTTCACAAGTTTTGAAGAAACCATTAAAGACAATGTTAATATGAGAGAGTTAGATTACAAAGTTTTACAACTACTAGTAGATTATATGTATACTGGCGAAATCACTGTCACCGAAGAAAATGTACAGGTATTTACGTTTACGTATTGTACTTATATGATTAGTTAAATATACTACAAACATTTCTTACATTTTTGGTATTACTCAAGGTCGTGTTGCCAGCTGCTGATCTCTTGCAGTTAGACTATGTAAAGCAGGCATGTGTTTTATTTTTACAAAAACAATTGGATCCTTCAAATTGCCTTGGTATTAAAGTTTATGCTGACATATATAACTGTAAAGAATTATTGTCGAGCTCTGAAGAATTTATTAAAAAACAATTTATGTATGAAATTATATTTCATATCTAAATTTCCTGGTTCTGTCAGCAATTTGTATACATTATGAAAATTATTTTTCAGAGAAGTAGTGAAATATGACGAGTTTCTATCTTTATCTTTAGAAGAGGTGATCAAATTAGTATCATGTGATGACACTTGTATTCCGTTTGAAGAAAAAGTAAGCAGACTGAAATTGATAATTGCTTTTTTTTAATATTGTGTATCAGATATTAGTTGACATGCATATATAATTTAATCTTGCTCAAAATGGAGATCAGTACCGGGCTTCAATCAGTTTTTGTTTGTAACGGTCAAACGCTGTCCCCACTATGGTGGCAAATAGAGGCTTGTCACTTCACGAGGTCACGCCCACACTCACAACTTGGCCACCCTGTACTGATCTCACGTTGAACAGATTATGTACAGTAACAGTTTAATTAATTAATATATTTAAAATTACATATTTCAAAATCAAAATTAATAAAAGTTTGTTTGTCCCATGTCTGGATGAACCCAAATAATTGTTTTAAAATGTATATAATGAAATAGATTTTAGCAATTGATTAAATTGTGTATAGAATCCATACCAAAGTTGTAAAAACTAAATAATCACTGCTATATACAGTCAAACTATTAATTAGATGTGTGCCTAGACCAATTTGGTATCTATGGGTGACATGAACCCAACTCTTTAACAAGTTCAAAATCCAGGCCATCCGCCATCGATGTCATCAAAATATTTTGATAAATACTTAAATGTTCATATTTGTAAAGAACAAGGGAAGTTTATCATGCTGAATGTTACGCACAGTAAGATGTAGAGTGGCCAGTTGGGAAATGAGAATTTTCGAGATGGCCTGGATCATATTATGGCTCGGTAGTCCCCGTCATTTTGTATAAGATTTTATTTGTAAAATAGGTAAATGTGTTCAACACTTTGTTCTTATTAAAAACTTTGTAATTATTGTATTATTATGATTAATGATGCTACATTTTAATAGCCTCTTTGAGTATGAGAAATTTTGGTTACAAAATTACAAAATATTACATAGACATCAAATAAAATCAAAACAAAGTCTATCTTGACATCTTCTGCTTTAATTAAACATCCAGTAAGCGTTTGATTTTGACTACAACCCAGCAGAACTAATTACTGAATTAACACATTGAGCTTGTGCCTGTGAAAGTTGTATATCTGTAGAGTGGTCACAAATATAGCAATATCCACCTAATGGCTGATTGAATAATATCTAATAATACATGATATTGTGTTATTAGTCTCGTAACTCAATGTCATTTTTGTAAATAATGAAAATAAGGCTATTATATTGCTATCAATACCTGTGTTAAACAAAGGTATTCATTAAGCTATTTAACTTTCAAAAATATCTTCACATTTATTGCCAATATCAATATCATATTTTTGAATAGGTGGTTTAACAAAAAATATAACAGTAGACTTTTTGTCTTAAATTATATTTTGTTATGTACATAATAATTAAGTTGTGATTATTTATTTAGGCATTTGAATGTGTTATTGATTGGGTAAAACATGAATTGAACTGCAGAAAAGATTTTTTGGCTGATCTAATGGAACATGTAAGATTGCCATTAATCTCAAAAGAGTATTTATTAGAAAAAGTTATTGATGAACCTCTTCTTAAAAGTTGTCCAAAATGTAAGTATTTTTTCTTAAATATGACTATTATTATTGTATCTAATGTATTATTATTATATTTATAGGTAAGGATTATGTATTTGAAGCATTACATTTGAATCTAATTAAGTCAATACATCCTTCCTCTGTTCCACAAACAAAGCGGAATAAACATAGACTCAGTTGCTCACAAAAAGTGTGGAACTGTTTATATTGATTCATCTTTACAATTATTTATTTTATCCATTTTAATTATTTCAGGTTGTTCTAGTGTTAAGTTTATCTCGTTTACCCAACACGTTAATTTCAAACAGGTATGACCCAGCAACTAACGTAATGCATATTGCACCGGAATTGAGTAAAGTCTATGGAACAGGTAGTCCGGGCGTTCTAAATGATAAATTTGTGTTTGCTATGGGTGGAGTTCATTATTCACAATTTAATTCTGTTGAAATGCTGGATGTATCTTCACAAGCACAATGTTGGGTACCAGAGAATAAATTGTTAGTTGATCGAAAGAGTTTTGGAGTTGGTGTGTTACATAATTGTATTTATGCTGTAAGTTATGCTAATTTAATGTTTGTTTTGTGTTATAAGTGTATTTTATTATTACATTAAATGCTAGATTGGTGGAATGGGCCGTCATAATAATTACCTAGACAGTGTAGAGGTTTTTGACTTCAGTACTCAACAATGGCAAATGGTATCTAGTATGGCTAGTAAGAGAAGTAATTTTGGTGTAGGAGTTCTCAATAATCTCTTATATGCAGTAAATAATTAAATAATTTTATGGAACCATCCATTTAATTTTCCTAATTCAATTATGTAGGTAGGAGGTGATGATGGTTCATCATATTTGGATTCTGTTGAATGTTATGATCCCAGTATTAACAAATGGAACCCAGTTGCAAAAATGTCATGTTGTCGCTTTAATGTTAGTGTAGGAGTATTGGATGGTAAAATGTATGCGATTGGTGGAATTTATGAGTCATATGTTCAAAAAACTGTGGAAGTCTATAATCCTAGTACTGGAGTTTGGGAGTCGATTCCTGATATGTATTTGGCCCGACAGAATGCTGGTGACTATAATAATTAGTTTTTTTAAGAAAATATTTTAAAAATTGTATTGAATTTTAATAATATTTTTTTAATACAGGAGTATTCACATTGAATGGTTTTTTGTATGTGATGGGTGGAAGTCTTATTAATATTAATTCTATTGAAATGTACAGTCCCAAAACCAATTCCTGGTCAATGAAAACGATATCAAGTCTTGAAGGACCAATTTTAAGTGCAGTGGTTGTTCATAAGCCATTATATATAAGACCTAATTAGCATTCAAAAGTCATAATCTCATTATAAGTTGTCTTAAAACTGATGAATTATGTATAATTGATCAAATATCTCATTAACTTGATGATATCTATTTTTATGTACTCTCATTTATTATATTGACTTAAATTAAAAAGTTTAATTATTTGTACGTAAAGTTCTACTGTTATTGAAGTCATTCCCTTAATTATACCAATATTATAAGAATAATATCAATGTACATACATACACCAGTTTTCCTTATTATACACGTAGGTACATCTAATAATCCTAATCTAACGGCTAATCTTCGTTTACTGGGCACTGGAATATCAAGTTTAAAAGAGTCATTTAGAAGTCTTTTTTCATAATTATGCTAACTATTCCATTAGGAGAATGTATTATAGAAATTACCTATCGTACTTGCATTTATTTCTATTACTTATATACACAGGCACACAGACGCCCATCCAGCATCCGGTCACTCAGGTTGAGTGTTGTTCTGTGGTACGACACAAGCGCGATAACAGCGAGGGGGGAGTGGATCGCAAAAACCCACGGTGACATTTAAATTGTTCATTTTTTCTTTTACTACACGTATTAGTGTATTACGTTATTATTAATGTTGATAAATTTTTTGAATTGATATTTATTTAAATATTTGTGTTTACACAAATGTAAAAATTCAAAAAACGGGTGAGTGAATGTCGCTCTGCTGTACATTATGTCTAAGAGGTCGCTGTAATGGACGGTATTAAATTTGAATTCAATGATATATTTTATACGAAAAACGATAAATTAAAATTTAATACCATTCATTACAGCGACTTCCTAGACGGCTAATGTATGGCAGACTTATATCCACTTACCAGCTTTTTTTAAATTTTTTTTGTACAATTTTTAAGTTATTATATTTGTTTTTGGCGGCGTTTTGTGTGAATCTAGGAAGAAAAGAACAATTTTTAGAAATTTTAAACAGTGTCCCACTAATCAATATTTTAAAAAAAAAAAATTTTTATATAATGCATAGACACTTATGCTATGTTTTTGGTATTATTTATTATAAAAAAAAATACGAAACATAAATACAATAAAGCTTAGTATAATAATATAGAGTAAGATGCATTTTTATTACTGGAAATGCCCTAATTAATCCTAGTGCCCTTATAGTTGACTATAGATGACCTTTTCATACTTTATCATAAAATATAACTAGTGGTAAAATATAAAACAACATTTTATTAATGGAAATTTCCCATGTAGACTTTTCATACTTTAGAGCTATAATTTGAGTGAACATAATTTAGTCTATTGACAGTCATTGAAGTGTTCAAGTATTTTCATTAAATTTTTATACTTCAATTTTTTAAATACATTTGAAATGGAAATTTTTAAATCTTATAAAGGAGGTGAAAAAGTAGCTTTTGAAGGATATACTTAGATCACAAAGCACAAAGGTAAAAACTATTTTATATGGAAATGTTCGACCAAAAATACGACAAATTGTGCTGGAATACTAAGGACTAGTATTTTGAAAACTGATCCTACCGTGACAACAGAACATAATCATCCTGCGAACCAATCCGAAGTAAATGTTATGAAAGCAGTATCAAAAATGAAATTAATGACATCCTGTACAAATCCAGTCGAGATTTATGCTCGAGGTGTCTCCGAGTTCGATGAACGTTCTAAATCAAAAATGTATGTTTCGTATTTTTTTTGTAAAGAATATTGATTAGTGGGACACTCAACACTGTTTAAAATTTTTAAAAATTGTTCTTTTTTTCCTTGGTCTTTTTTACCGATTACCGTTTTGTGTACATTTTTATTTACATCTTATCTCTAGCAGCAGACACGTATTTAGGCGGGAGTCGAGTCTACCCTGTTGCCTGGAGTGGAAATTTTTTGGTCCATTTAGGGGGCCGTACATTTAAATTGGAATATTATTATTGTGTAATGTGTATTGTGTAAATAAATTAATAAACACGATTTAGCAATCTAATTTATTATCAGCTACATTGGCAGTTGCTCATATCACAGAACAATATCATAGCCTTATCTTTCCTGGGATGAATAATCGTGAGTCTTGATTGTATAATATTCTTGTAAATTAGTAAAATACTAACATGCACATTTTGTAAATATTTTTAAAATATAGTGTATAGTGTATTCTTATTTCTCAATTCTTAATTTCTATAGTTTTTAATAATTGTCATCATTTTGTAATCTATAGAAATAATAATTATTAGTTTATGTTAATTTAGATTAATAATATGGTTTTATAAGAAAAATAACATCAACATGTTCAAACTACAGTATAATACCCGAGTGAGCTTTTTCCGCCACTTAAAAGTCAGTATCAGTAATTCAATAGAAGTAGCATACCCGAGTATAAGTCGTGCCGCTTCTAAATCTGTTGTAGTCGATGGAAAATATTACACTGAAGACGAATATACAAATGTTACACCAAAAATATTATCGTTTATCGGTATTAACAATCACAATCGTTGTGGCCACCCTCTTAACTTGTTCAAACAGCGCCTGGTTGATTTTTTCTATGATCATTTCAGAGGACGAACGGGCAATCCAATTTTTTCTATTTATGATAAAATCAACCCGGTTGTGACGACAAGTGAAAATTTTGACTCTCTACTTGTGCCAAAAGATCATCCAAGTAGAAACAAATCCGATAGTTATTATTTGAATAAGACTCACATGCTTCGTGCTCACTGTACTGCTCACCAGTCCGAATTGATAAAAATGGGTTTGGACAACTTTGTAGTATTTGGTGATGTGTACAGGAGAGACGAAATTGATGCCACTCACTATCCTGTGTTTCATCAGGCTGACGGTGTACATATATTTACACCAAATGAATTAGAATTAATTAGTGGAAGTAATGTTAATGTATTTGATGACGACAAAAACAATTCAAACAATGAAAAGCAAAGAGTTTATTCAAAAGAAGCTAATGAAATTGTTATTGATCACTTGAAAAAAACTTTGGTTACGATGATTAAAAAAGTATTTGGTGAAGACATTGAATATCGATGGGTATCTGAATATTTTCCATTTACACATCCGTCATTTGAACTAGAAATCAACTACAATGGTCAGTGGATTGAAGCTTTAGGATGTGGTGTTATTCGACATGAAATTTTAAAAAATGCCGGAGCTGGCAACCGAATTGGTTGGGCATTTGGTCTTGGATTAGAGCGTCTAGCAATGCCATTTTATTCTATACCAGACATACGTTTGTTCTGGTCTAAAGATTCAGGATTTCTCAACCAGTTTCAAAACCTACCCAAAGATGGACGAATGAAGTATAAACCGATCAGCGTTTATCCTCAATGCATTAATGATATTAGTTTTTGGTTGCCCAAGGAAAAACCATACTGTTCCAATGATTTTTATGAACTTGTTGGAAATTATGGTGGCCAGTTAGTCGAACAAGTAAAACTAATAGACCAATTTAAACATCCAAAAACTGGAAATGTAAGCCATTGTTATCGCATAGTTTACAGACATTTAGAAAAAACATTGAGTCAAGCAGAAGTCAATGAAGTACACAAACTGATCGAAATAAATGCTACACAAATTTTAGGCGTAAAACTAAGATAGTACAGATTAGATTCCTAAATGATATGATGTCATGAATCATGACTGATATTTTAGTTAACTTTTTTTAAGTTAGAACAAAACTTTATTTTAATCGTGAAGATTGTAAATTGAAATACAATAAAAAGTAAACCAGAATTGTTCAAATCATATTTAGAAACTTGTTATTTACTATTGGTTTGATAATAAATATCAAACTATATACTTAGTCTGCTTACATTTGTATAATACCAAATTACAAAATATATTGAAAAATATTATCATAATTAAATGGTAACTATTAACAATCTCTTTTTAATTAGAGGAAGGCTAATAAAAAATGCATTTTTACAACTATTTTTAAATTTAATGTATTGAAGTAAATATTAATATTTTAATAATGAAACAAAAAAAAAATTACAATTTAATGGTTATCTACCTAAATTTTCACAGAAATAACAATTCAAGCAATGTTTTTTTTCTGTTGGAAAGTGCTTTCCAAAATGTTCATAAGTACTTCTTCTGCTGCTTAGAAAATAGTGATTCTAAGAGGTAAATATTGGAACTTTTATAATATATAAATGTTGAATAAATTAAACAAAATAAATATTTATAAAATGAAAATATATATTATTATGTACTTAACATTTATGAGATGCACCCTTTTTGTGATTGTGTATAATATAATTATATTTTCTTTAATTATGTATGTATAAATGTAAGTAGAAAAAATAATAGTGATTAACTATTATCATGGTAATCCTGTGTGACAGTCTCAATTCAGCTTCTTTTTTATACAAATAACAGAAAAAGTATTTCTCAATAGTAAATAAAAAAAATTACAGTTTCTTTTTTACTTAAACAAATAATATTTATTAACTAATTAGTATTCATGGAAAGATTTAGATCAGCTTTTGTAAAATGTTTGTTTGTGCATCCAATATATGGACAAGATACAAACAGTTTATTCTGGAACATTTGATTAACTGATTCTTGATCATATATATGTTTGCAAACTTTGTTGCTTACTGGTTTAGTTATTGGTTGTCGTGTATATGGATCTAACTTCCCTACTATCAACTCTTCTCCTAGTAACTCTTCAGTAGGTTTATTGAAATGTTTAGTTGCTAATAAATGTCCATGGTTTTTATATGTTTTTACGCCGGCGTCATAAGTGGCAGTTAATATCCCTTGGGTCAATTCATTACACACACTGAAAAAAATAGCAAGACACTTTAAATTTGACTTATAATTCTTAGAAATAACATAAAAATAATGTTATAATATTATCAATTTAAAATAAATACATTGATCTAAAGACTGGCTGTATAAAATAAAGTGTACTATATATACAATTATTAGACAAATTACTTCTATTTTTAGAATAAATTCCAACTTAATGAGTTATAAGTTAGATTTTTTTTCATAATATGCAGTGGTTAGTTAATTTATTTTAAAGTCCAGTTAACTTAATCTTTGTAGATTTTAAATATATTTTGTTTTTTAGAAATTAATGTTTTAATAGAAAGAAAAAATTATAATAGGAAATATTATTTATGATATTATCTTATAATATTTACTGTAAATAATACATTTTAGAATGTCAAAATGGCGAATGCACAAAAACAATATATAAAAATATGTAAATTTCACCAGAAAATCACATCTCACCCAGATTAACTTAAAATATTTCAACAACAAGAGAACCAAATACAACATTAAAAGGGACATGGTGACAAAATCGTCTTAAAAATTAACTGTAATAATTAATAAGTTTTGTTGGTAAGGTTCTATCACTATTTTTATTAGTATTATTAGGATGGCCGTCTTTTCTGTTATTTTTTCTGACAACTTATTTTATACCAATAAATTATTTTTATTTTTGTGTAAGTACCGTTCTTTAGTCAAATTAGCTTGGTATACTTTGGCATAGATTGTAAATATTAAGTTGAAAAAGTAACTTTTATTTGCTACATTAATTTATTTATTTTTAATTTAATTAGTTAAAAATAGTTAACTTGCCCTTCCTTGAAAATATATATGCTATATAATATGGTATATTAACGCAGGTGAACATTTTTATTAGACTTAAGAAGTATACACAATACACAAGTTCAGATTTTGTTTGAAATTAAACTGTATGTGTTCAGGTAAGTAGAAGCTAGAGTTTCACTGCCTTCTATTTATACTAATTAATTGAAAAGTGCACATTATGGTTCGCACTAATTCAAACAATTTAAAAACAAGTTTAGTTGGTCGCGCCCAGGACTGGACAAAACTTCAGTCTTTACATGCACAAGTTAGAACTTGCCTAAACATCACATCTGTTCGGCTATGTTTAAAACAAAAATTGAACCACCCCATTATAACAACTTTTTTAATATAAATTTTATGTTTAACATTGCCCCCAATGACCATACAATTTTCAAAAATAATTTTATAAAAACTAACATTAAAGGTATAATAACAAATAATAATAAAATAACTACATTTTATACATACTTTTTAAATTCCTCGACATTATCAATTTTCAAGTTTTTGTCAATATGTTTTTCTAATATATCTTTGTTACAACCAATTACTGATTCCACACCTCTATCATATTTACAAGTTTTTTCTATTAACTTAATGTGATTTTTTATATGCTCTTTGTTTTCTAAATTGTCAGTTAAACTTAAACATTCATTAAAAGCAACTTGGGTATGAATAATGTTTTTGAAAAGTTTTTCAGACTGCTGTCGAAGTCGTGTAACTGTTTGACTGACCTCATCATTTTCATCTCTTCGGTGATCGGTACTAAAATCCATTTCCAATTCTATTAAATAAAAATATAAAATCAGCAAGCATATTAACTTAGGATATATTAACTGTATAAACAATTTTTTATTTCAAATATTAATACCTGAAGTACGTTTCAGCTGGCGAACGTTATCCATCAATGAACTAATTGCTTGCGCATTAACCTCCAAACGTTTATGAAGTCTTAATCCTCTAACTGAAGGATCAGTATTAGCTTCCAAAGCATCTGAAAGGTCGATGTCTTCGACATGTGCGCAGGGCAGAGTAATTTCTTTACGACGTATAATTTTATTACGTGCTTTAAGTTTAACTTCTAGTTTACTATACATATCTAACTCGTCATAGTTGAGATTTCTTCTATTTTCGTCTTCTGCTTCATTTGACGACGCCATTTCAGGTTGATGTTATAAATTAGAAGATGAAAAAACCCTATGTGGAAAAATATTAATTATAATTTTACACATATAGTTAATATAAATGAATGAACTCTTAACAACTTATAACATAAGAAAACATACAAAACACTAGATATTTCAAAATCAAGAGGTACAATACAATAGACAAATATATTATATTACCTATGTTCGACAAGCTGGTACACTAGCAAATTCAAAGAACTAAAAAACAAAGTATAGTATAAATTTTAATTATACTTATTACTTACAGCTATAAATGATCAACAAATAAAATTAATATTTTGTAACCTAACATGTTTAAAAATTCAACACACGGATCATATGGATTATTAAAGATTTTCGCATTGACTTCAACTGACGTGAACTTGTAGAAATTAGGTGGTTCACTTAAATATTAATAGTTGATAGTTTAAATCTAAGGGGTAGCGTTAATACTTTATACGAAATCACGGTCCATTGTCGTGAATTCATTAAATTGGCGCTAAATCCGGCACCGGCGTCGCCGCGTCGGCACTGTAATCACTAATCAGACAAAAATAATATGTGAACATCACGATTTAAGATATACTGGTTACACATCGAATTGTGATAAGGAGACCGTCTAACTGAATACCTATATCAGCTATGGAACTACTGACTGGCGCCATCTAGCGATAAATGTATTACACCGATATAAGACACTGATTATTTTTACCGCGCTTTTTAAATACTACCAATTGATATTGAAAATTACATAATAATATATTTTTTATTTATATAAAACAATAGAGAAATATGATGATATTCTCATGTTCTCAACTCTGAATATTGATAACTGTTGTCTGTTACCCACGATCGATGCTATTTGCATAAATTCAGTGTAGTGTAATTAAGTTTGTCTTATTTTAACATGCGGTGTTGTGTACCGAATTGTATAGGCAAAGGTAGTACTTTTGGTATACCTAAAAATGCAATTAATTTGTGGAAAAATGCTCTTAGTATAGAGTTGAAATCCAATTATAGAGTATGTGAGGTACATTTCAAAACTGATGACATCATTAAGACATGGGTTTCAGGCCAAAGTCAATTTTAGGTTAGTGAATATTAATCTATTACTTAATAATTTAGATAGGCTCAACCATAGATTAATATTGATCTATGAGTTCACCTTAATTTTTTTAGTAGTTTTAAATATTATCTCTTAGATATGTTACAAAAGGCCTAAATTACGGGAAGGAGCAATACCTATTGATCGAAATTCTAATGTTATGGTATGTATTATTCTGTTTTACTTTAAACATAAAATTATAATTACAACAAAAATGTGTCTTGTCACATTGCATAAACAGCTAGATGGTAGAGAAGCTTTGTATAATAAAGAAAATAATGATTTTCAATCAGATTATGCTGTTGTACCAAAAAAAAGAAAGGTTTGTACCTATAATTTAAAATAAATATACATAGATTCTAGATACAAGGAAGGTATAATCTCTTGTTCTTTTTTTTTTATATATATTCGAAAAGATAAATGAAGATGTACATTTAGATCACTCCTATGGTTACACGAGTGAGGAAAATAAATTTCCTGAAGTTTCAACAGTCTTAACTAAAACAACGCCATACCAAAATAATAAACAAATAGTAATTAATAGATATAAACATTTTATTTTAATAATACAAAAAAAATTATGTCTTTAATAAATCTGAAATCTACATAATGATTATTTTAGGAACACACACAAATAAACAATTTCAGGTAGATTCAAATTAAATTGATTATATATAATATATTATTATTGTAAATCTATTAAAACAATTACATTACACTATAACTATAACTATAATTTGTTTATGCACTTTAGATTGATCCTTTAAAGCCGCCAATTAAATGGGAATTTTACTATAAAGTATTCAGCATTGAAAGCAATAGCCTAACTAAAGTATATCCTAGATTAACCAAACACCATTTTGAATTAAATAGCTTTTCTAAAATGAAAGTTAAAAATGCAGTTCAAGTATGTATATTTTTAATCTAAATAGTTTTATATGAATCAAAAATATTTCATATTTATTTTTATTTTTGTCTGGACTTAAGATTTTTAGTAGGTCTATGGGTATAGGCATAGAATTTTATAAAAAAAAACATTACGAGTGCTTCAAAGATTCTGAGGAAACGGTCAAATTTACATACATCATGAATGATATTTTTGATGCACTCAATCGAAAATATCCAGCAGAAGGAATAAGACCAGATAATAAAGATTTAAAGGTTTTAATTAGTGTTGCATGTAATTGTGAAATGTATAATATCTTAAATCGTGGTGAACATGCCGACTAGAATTATTATAAGAGATAAAACTCCGTTTCTGATAACGTCAGAAATGAGTCGCACCACGATTAAACGGACACAGGCTACGCTGCGATCGCTATTTTAACCCGCGTAGTTCACGGATTATTGATATTTTTTGCGTTTTTTGGAAAACATAATATGCATTATTTTGTTCCACGATCCACGATCCATTCAAATTCTTCTAACTTGTACGACTACGCATTTATACATCTACTTATGTTTATATTTCATTAACGTTCAACATTCTTACGAAACAAATTTCAAATTTGAGTGTAACGACTAGGTAGGTATAATAACGATACATATCGATATAAGACGATCGTTCAAGAAGACACATAATGTGTACGGTGTATCAAATATTCAAATACCTAGTATTGGGCTCTCAGACTTACTGCGAACACAGATATTTAAGTATAATATTATAATAATATTCTAGTCTTCATGATGTCAGCATGCAACTGAGATAAAAATTTATTTAATAGGTATATAACTAATTCGTGATGCTAATCCTAAATTAGTAGGATATTATAGTATTATTTCTATTTACTGTATGTGCTAACCAACATAACTATGGAATTCCAACTAAGAACTATGATAGTAATATAATATCATATATTCATATACAGAGTGTATCTTATATTGTAGTTTTTTAATCAATACGATTTATGGGTCGATAATATAAGATTTTTTTAAAAAAAACCATTGATTTTATAATATTTTTTATAGATTGCCCATGCTATACGAATATTCGATGACTAGCAAACGAATGCTCTAGGATAACTAGATTCGCTGTATTCGTTTGCATTACAGTTAAGGAAAAACATTTAAAAAAAAGTGTTTCTATATTAATTTTAACTGGCAATTTTTTTTATCGATATTTTTAAGCACGTATTTGTACCAATAGCAAAATCAATTCTATTTTTCAACAATGGGCATTTCTTATTATTCTTGTACCTACCTAAGTATAGCTTTTTTCTGCAATTTTGAACAGTAAAACTATCAATTTTGGTCCACCAGTTAATTAAATATTAACTACAGTCGTCTAAAGTTTAGTAAATTCAGTAGTACCTAATTGAAATGTTTGGTATGAATTTCAATTATACTAGACGTTTGTACTAAACATTTTTTAAAAACGTTTTTCAATAAAATTTTATATTTTTTTACGCCCTTAAAATTTAAATCGTTAATGTTATGATTCACTGCCCGAAATAAATATATTCAATTTTGAGATAATAAGTATAGTATAATAGTATAGTTGGCAAACATAGATCATTATTCGATTCTGAACTTAAGCGGGGCGGTGATGAATGTATTGATCTTAGTATTTTACTATGGTACATCTAGTTACTAACCTATAAGTAAAAAATATAATGATTGGATTATCAACTTCAGTATTTTTTTCTGGTTGGAAAGTGAATCTTTTTGGATCATTCGAGAGGTAAAAATTTAAAATTCTAATGCTGTACTTTTTAAAAACATCGGGAAAAACAAAAAAACAATTAGAAGAAAGGGGAATTTGAACGGTTTTATGGTTTTTGACAAAATCGAATTTGAAATGAAAAACGTTTACAACATTGTTTTTTTACATTTCATAATTTTTTAACTACAATATATTTTGTAAATGCTTCGATTCTAACGTCACGTTTTGTCAAAATTTAAATTTCAAATGCATATAAAAAAATCGTATATCTTGCACCTTTAATATTTTTGACCTGCTATTATAACAATTTATGGAGGAACCTTGCATTTGTTTTTCAAAAGTTTTGGATATCCACGACTTAATTTTGCCGTTCAATGGACATTGACCAATTTTTATGTTCTAATTTCTAATACATTTAATTTCTACTAATTTTTTGTGAATGCATTGTATTTCCGACCTATGACTAGTCTAGTGCTGTCTTACCACTCTTACGCTAGGTCAAATCACATACCTAGCCAAATCCCTGAATCCGGATGTCCGGATAAGAATTTGATTAAAATCCGGATTTGGGTATCAGGATATTTGATAATTCAGATATTCAGATTTCATGTCCATCCCTAATGGGCATGTAGATTATAATATTCCAAATAGGTGTGTTGTGTATAGAGATTATATATATAGATATCTTTTAAAAAACCAATATAAAGTACTAATAGAAGAAAATATAATAAATGACACCTCGTATGGGTAGGTACCGAATGTGAGTAAAATCTAAAAATAGTAAAACCTAATGATTGATGAATAATGATCGAGGGGTTAACGCACTCTTTCATGATTTGTTATAACAATCAACATATATATATATACCTACCCTGGGCAGTGGGTACCCAATACCTAAAATATTTGTTTGACCAAAGTATTGGACAGTTATACGTGGGTATATACATATAAATAAATCGCGTCAAACGGAAGTTGGCAAATATTTATACGTTTCTATGCGTCTGTATAGTTACTATAGGCAGGTACATAATACATATTATATAAACCATATTTATACCTTTCTTCGGTCATTGATAATTTATGATGCGTACGTTATAACTTGTAAGTTATAACCATTGTTTGAATGGTGTGTGGATAAAATATTTTGACAGTGGCCCGTGCCCGCGTACCGCTTCAGACCATCATCATCCGGTTTTTTGGCCTCTGCCACCCGTAGGTATATAATATTATGTTCTCCTACGGTACGTGATGTTTATAGTAATAATACTATTAATTTTTGAACCTATATCGAACGTGCTCAGTTAAATCCTGTATCCTTTCCTTGTATAATCGTGTATAGTTGTATTATATGTTATTATCACAATAGTCTGTTAATAAATTCTTATATTTCCGCTTTAAAAATATCAGCTGAACAATATTAAGTATAAGTAACGTATACAATAAATTATAAAATACAGAATTTGGATATAATTCATTAGGTGCCAAATGCGGGCACCAATAAGAACCTAATAATGTTAAATCATTGTTCCCTAATGTGGCGAATCAATTTTTTTTTTTTAATGTAGGTGCCTAATATAAAAAAATATCCTGTGGTAATGTGGGGAAAAATTTTAATATTATAAGAACAACTCAGTTAGTACACGTGGCCATAACTGATTTTTTCCAACTGTTTTAAATGAAAAAAATTATATTTATATGCATATTTTCTGTTAAAAACAAATTGGTTACGTAACTGGTAAAGTGGTAACCTGGTAACCAGGTAACCGCACTGCTGTACATAAGGTTTAGGTGTTGAGTGGTCGTCATTGAGTACCTACCTAAGTCACTGTAATGAGCGTAATGATTAATGGATGTGTTAAAA